TTTCTTGGGCTTTGCTTGGCTTGGCTTGGATTATATTGGACTGGCCTGACGTAGGTTGGACTGGCTTGGTTTGGTATGGCTTGGATTGGCTTGGGTAGGCTTAGCTTAGATGACCTAGCAAGCTTGGCTTGACTTGGATTAACAAGGTTTGGCTACGTTTGGCTGGGCTTGCATTGGGTTGGCTTGGCTCAGCTTGGCTTGGGTTAGCAAGGCGTTCTTTTTCTGGCTTGGGTTAGCAAGGCGTTCTTTTTCTTGGTTTTCCATGGAGTTGAGACGTCAAACCAGGGAGTTTGTTTGTTTTGTTTGTTTTTTTTTTTTTTTTTTTTTTTTTTTTCTGCGGCTAGACAGGTTGCAGACCATGGTTTTGTTTGGTGAAATCAATTCTACTGTTAAAGCATTTTCGTTGCATTGCTGAATCCTCGCCTGTGTGAATTGTGCAGGCTGCATATAACTGACCATAGGGTGGTTTTGGTGTCAGAAGTGGGAGATGGCAGGAGAACCAAGTAGGCTGGTGAAGGCACTACGCGTTGAGAGGCTGTAACTCAACGAGTACAAGCAGTGAGAGGCTTTACCGCCTGCGGGCTTACACGAAGGGTTGAACGGCACCTGATGCGCTGAAGCCTCTATAATACCCCCATTTGACCCAGTGGGTAGGTACTTTTCAGAATTCTCAAAAGTAACACTAATACCCCCTTTTAACCCAGTGGGTAGGGGGGCGTTACAGAGCCTGTTAGTCAGTGAGGCAAGGATGTGAGAGAGCAGAATTCAGAGAGACTAAGCCAGTAAGGGTGAGGCAAAGCACTGAGACGGTGGAAGACAGTAAACCAATTGGGAGGGCGGTCGAGGGCGATGGGGGAGAGAGGCTGATATCAGTAGTTTCCAGCCTCGGCATAAGAATGTAAGGGATAAGCAGGGCTGATACAAATGACACAGAAGGGTGAGGCAAAGCCCTGAGACGGTGGAAGACAGTAAGCCAATTGGGAGGGCGATTGAGGGCGATGGGTGAAATCTGATCTCTAGACCTGATTTGTAATGGCCGTCCCAAGGCTTGTGGCCTATAATCTTAATTAATCAATACTTGACGGCTCTTTGTTGTATAACTGGCCTAAGGAGAGAAGCAAGTGGAGGGGGGGGGGGGATGGGGTGATGATGCGGACTAACAAAAGGTGTACACAGATGGTAGGGAGAAAGATGATGCATAAGAAGAGCTGGTGCTTCATATTGCATCATTTTCTCCCAGACTTCAGCAAGAGATGGGAAAGATTTCTCTCGAGCGTCACACAGGTAAATCATCCCCTACTGGTACGTCCTCGTGTGTCCAAATGGCTTCCTATTGTTTTCTATACTTCAAGAAAGGATGTTGGAGTGGTTTCCGTGAACCACACCAACGACGGCAGGCGGACTAACGACGGCTGAAAATCTGGACCGACGGCGACTTCATGGCGGTGGCGTGTAGAAGAAGCAATACGAAGGAGCTAAGAAGTATCTAAGATTACTATGCGTGTGTGCTAAGTTATGAGCTACGGGGAATGAATACGAGGAAGAAATGGGAGTGAAGGAGAAGTGACGGGAAAGGAATTGACGGGAAGGTTTGATTGGTTGGGAAGTTGAGTGTTCAACAAGGAACCCGAGGCATGTTCAACAAGTTTCTGAAATTCGGACTTGAGGAATGTTCGGTGAATTCGGTTCGGTTGCGTGTGCGACTCGGGGTGAAACGAGGCGCACGCGGTTACTTGGGAAACAAGTGAAGTTACGAATCTCATTTTGTGTCTTGCCTGACTATAAACCTGTTTGTATTCATTCTGGAAATACAACATGACAACATTGAGATTCTGAAAATTGCTGGTGTGTATTGACAACTTCAAGCAGAGCTGCGCATATCGTTGGATTCGGGAGATCGTGGAGAACACGATAGGCGATAGCAAGTAGACTATTGCCGACTAAGGTGTTTACGATCCTAAGAAAGGATACCCTAGATCGAGCGTCACACAGGTAAATCATCCCCTACTGGTACGTCCTCTGCGTCACGCACATGTTCTTCTGCCAGTCCCAGTTACTCTGAATCAGAAACCTCATGTTCTTCATCCCAACCAGATTGTAATTGTACGTTCCGCCGCGGCTGTCCCTGCCCGTCTTCGTCTGACCAACATCCATGTAACACTTGTCCGCATTCTCACCGTTCTCGTCGCCCCACCCGGAATCAACATCAGGGTCCGTTGCTGCTTCTGCAATCTCATGAGCGATGGTTGAAAGCGTGAAATCAATCGACGGGTTCCCATTGGGCGATGGTTTCGGTATCCATTCTTCATTGCACTGCCCGTGGTGCCCCACGAACGAGAATACAACCGGCCTTGACTCGATGTAGCCCATACTGTGCCATCCCATATACTCGGTACAGAAACCTGGGACAGTAACATCCTTGCTGGAAAGAAGCAGGTAGATGCCACTCGCGTCGTACGGAAACGGCTTTCCAGCGCCAATCTTGTTGGAAAGAACTGCAACAGAGGAGGGCTTTTAATAGTTCAGATTGTGACAGAAACGTATCCTGACTTTCTTACGGCAGTGCATAGTTGCTCAACGGCAGGTATCATCATGCTGGAAGAGGCCGCGAAATGGTTTTGCCGTGCTGCGTACCTTCCCAAACCGTGTCTTGGCCAAAATCCTTTCCCGCCGAGTAGTTGTCACAAACAGTCCTGGCGAGGCGCACCTGGAATGAAACGAATCCAAAAGAATTTGCATTTCATTAAGTTGATAGAGAGAAACGAGTCGCTTTATGGGAGGGGTGTTGTGGCAAAGTTATGGGAGAGCGTCGTGGCGAAGGTCCGCACCTTGCTGCTGACGTTCTTTGTGCCGTCCTCTTCCTCCTGCGTGTACGCCGCGCTAATCGCCCACCAGCGCTTCACCTTGGGATCCGCGGGACTCCCCTGCCGCTGCGAGTCCGCGCTCAGTGACCGGATAAAATTCTCGATTATTTTCTGCCCCGATCCTGCCGGCCAGCTGCCGTAGTAGATGATGTAGACGTTGATGGATGGGTTTCCGGTCATCACGGGCCCTCCTCCGTATGTGATGGGAGCGCTTGAATCTTCAAACGGACGCGCGCCACGGCCGATGATGTCGGTCAGCTGGCGCTGACGACGGTACTCTTCGTGCGCGCGGGGCGTCGGCGCGATGCGCGGCACACCGGCGGATGCGAGGGGGAGCGGCGAGATGCAGACGAGGGAGAGGAAAACGAGCAGCAGGGAGAATATTTCCGTAAGTTTTGCCATTGCGAATGGCTGAGATTCCTAAAGGCGGAAAAAAAGGAACGGGAAACGTGCTTGATCTATCTATCAGATGGCATTCAAATTGTTCTTGGGATCAAACCGTAGAGATATAATATAGAGATTCTGTTAGCTGCGGAACGCGGGGTCAGATACGGGACTTGAAACAGTTTGCGAGCAGGTGGCGACTGAGGAGGGAATGTTGGTAGAAAAGCGCCGAGGTTGGGCATTTATACCTTCTTGAGCAACTTGGTAGTACCCTTGGAGGGCACTCTGACTTGGTAGTAGTGTTGGGGACGTCGGTGTCCGTCTGAAGGTCAAAATGATTCTCTGGTCTGTTCTTCCTGATTTTCAATGTGATGCCGAGCAAACATTTCGCGGCTCGATTTCGTGGAAGGCTCCGATTTGGCAGATGGAGGGTCCGAAAACAAAGGCTACCATTCAAATTCAAAAACGACCGCTCTAGAACGTACATCGCCTCATCAAGCCGCACACATTTGCACTCTCGAGACGCGCCTTTTGTCCACAAAGTCGCGGTTCGAGTTTCTCAATTGAGTCCGAAAGTCATACTGTAGGCTCATCAGCTACACTGCATTTCCCGAGTACAGAAGCGTGTATAACATGACGAAGTGAGTTGGAGGAACTAGTACCTAAAACAAGGAAGAAAGAGGGGGACCAGGCACAAGTTTGGTCTGACCTGTTAAAGCTGCGGTCTACATACATCTGGGTGTTTTTATGGGGTATTTATATTGCACACCCTTTGACACACGTTGATTCGCTTGCGAACAGGCTCCCGCTCGGAACTGTGCGTGCGACCCATTCAAAAAAGACTGGCGGAACTACTCAGTTTCGCTAGGGACGATGGGTTGGGAAAACAGAATCAAGCGAAAATTTGGTTATTTCGTGAGGGGAGGAAGGGTTGGGGGAAGAATGTGCGGAAGGGTGGAAGCCCTAGGTCAAGTTTCGGGCCCTGTTCGATAACCTAACGGAACGGGGACGTGAGGTGTTGGTTCTGTGAGTTTCTTCCCGAACCAGACGCGACAAAATTTTGCAACCGCTAAAAGTTCCCTAGTCCCGTTCCGTTGCAGGCGAGACACCTGTTATCGAAAGGGTCTCGATTGGTTTGGGAACCCCCAGTCCCCTCCCTCTTTCCGCCTCGATTGTTTCTTCACAGACGGGTACTTGGTTCACCTGGTTTTCAAGTGATAAACCAAGGCCTGTCCCTGGAGGTATGTAGACCGCAGCGTTAATCCACAGAGAAAATATATAACATTTACCAACACCATGAAATGCATATTTACAATTAGATCCCCATATAATGTGCCTACCAAGATCATCTCATGCTGGCAAGTATCTTCCAATACCGTAACCCTCTGCTACTGCCAGCTTTCTTCAAGCCTCCAATGTTCCACTGGTGCCCTTCAGATCAGCTAAACTGAATTTCCCATTATTCAATCAATACCAAAATATGTACACTACACAAATACCATGTCCATGAGCCACCCACCAGTTTCACTTAGGAAATCTCACTCAAGAACGCCTTGCCTCGAGTCTTTACATCCACCCCTAAACTTCCTGTACAAACACAGACTGTACAAAGCGTTACGTTACGTACCTCCACCTCTCCCATCGTTTTTTTCCACCACCCACCACCTACCGCCCATACTCCCTCCCCCACATACTCTCCCATCACTGGTCAAAGCTGGTCAACGCTGGTCAACAGTGCTCATCCAGCTTGACTCAAAGAACCAGCCCCTTTACGAACTGGGGGAAAGAGGTGTCCCCTGCAGCAGGGGGCGCCCCCAGCTGCCCCTTACTCCCGCCCCCGCATGCCAACACCCTCCCATCACTGGTCAACGCCAGCATGTGAGCGTCGAAGTGGCCGGCATTCGACGTACTTATCTGCACCACCTTACCCTTCCTGCTGCTGCTGCTGCCTATACTGCCGTTTCCGCTCCTGTTGCTGTTGCCATTGCTGTTGCTGTTAGTGTTGCTGCTGCTGTTGCCGTTGGGGCTATCCAGGCCGGGGCTGCTGCTGCTGCTGCTGACGATGCTGTTCATCCACCCACTCAAGCTTACAGCCGTCGAATCACCGCTGCCACTGCCACTCCCACTCCCACTGTCAGTGCCACTGGTAATTATCGGTGTTATGTGAGTGACGTGATCAGCAGGACCAGTACAAACAGCAACAGCAGCAGCAGCAGCAGCAGCAGCAGCAGCAGCAGCAGTAGTAGTATTAGCAGCAGCATTAGCAGCAGAAGTATGGGTAGCATCAGCAGCAGCATAAGGAGTCGTTGCAGAGTCTCTCCCTCGTCCTGCAGTGGCAGCAGCGGGCAGACTGCCCCACGTGAACAGCCCTCTCATGCCCCCTTGCCATGCCCCAGCAGGCCCCCGACATAGCAGTGTGGCGGCAGCACCAGTGGCCGCAACAGGACTTGAAGCATCAGGAGGGGTGGCAGCAGAAGCAGGAACAAGCGGGTTGGCAGTAGACTGGAGTGCTGTAGAAGCATCATCAGCAGCATCAGCAGCAGTACTAGCAGCACCAGCAGCACCAGCAGCATCAGCAGCGGGACTAGCAGCAGGAGCAGCAGGAGCGGCGCCAGGCGCAGTGGGTAGAGGAGCAGGTGGGTGGGAAGCTCGCTCTTCCAGCAGAGTCACCCGCCGCGGCTGCATCACATCCCGATTGCGCCTCCGATGCTGCCTCAACTGGCAAAGGGTGGGGAAGTGGGCAGTGTAAGGGAGAGGCAATGCAGGAGGGGAAAAAGAAGCAGGGGGGAGAGCAGCAGGGGGGTGGGCAGCTCGCTCCTCCGGCAGAGACACCCGCCTGGGCTGCATCACATCCTGGTTGCGCCGCTTGTGTGGGGGAGAAGATGTGTTTGGGGGCAACCAGGAATATCAGGTGCATCCCATGAATGAACCTTTGAGGCGCCTCAAAAGTGTGGCAACCAGCAATAGCAGGTCGTCCCATGAAAGAAAAGAGGCAACTTAGGGAGAAGCTGAAACTTTGTTGATGGCAGAAAGATGGATCATATTCCTTTGAAGCAAGCAAGCAAGAAAGCAACTACACACTCACCACGATATCGTGCAAATCAGCATCGTCCATCTCCTCGCCTTCCTCCTCCTCCCCCCTCTCCCACCCGCCTCCATGCCCCAAACACGCGCTCTCCGCGCTCCCAAACGACCACACCTTGCCGCCCTCCCCCACCACAAACGTCGTGTAATCCCCTGCTGCCACGTGGCATGCTTTAACGGCTGGATGGAGCTTGTGGCTGGCCGTGTCACGTGAGCCGTGCGATTCATCCCTGCAGGCAGCTGCCTCTGATCCAGCAGGGGCAGAAGCAGCAGAAGCAGAAGCAGCACCGGAAGCAGCACCATCATTCGCACCAGCACCAGCACCAACCCCCACCGCCGTACCCCCTTCCACCCCACCACTCCTACCCCCCTCCTTTTGACACAAGTTCTCAATTACCCTGGGCAGCGTTTCACACTGGTCCTTCCCATGCCCCAGGCACCCGTGCCTGCCCCACCCCCACGTGGCAACTCTACCGTCAGCAGCAACAGCAGCAGCATGCCACGCGCCTGCAGCAACGGCTGTGGGGGCGAACTCCAGGGTTTTAAAGTGTGCGATCTCTTTCGGGCGGCGTTCGTCGTACTTTGTGCCGTGGCCTAGCTTGCCGCCCAGACCACAGCCAATGGACCAGACAGACCTGAGGAGTGGAGAGGCGGCGTAAGGGATGGGTGGAAAAGGGGAGATGGGGGATGGAGGGGAACACTAGTGTGCCGTGGCCTAGCTTGCTGCCCAGACCACATCATGTAGACTTTGGGCGGACAGACTTGAGGAGAGGAGGGGGATAGAGGGGGAAGTGTGGGGTGGGTGGGGAAGGGCGAATGGATAAGGACTATAGTAAGCCATGGCTCCCTGCTATCTGCACCATTGATCTCACCACACCACACCACACCACACCACACCACACCACACCACACCACACCACACCACACCACACCACACCACACCACACCACTGGCGTATCACTAGCCTCACCTGCCGTGAGGTTCCTTGGCGCAAGTCAATCCGAGCAAGTAGCAGTGCCCCCCTGCTATCTGCACCACTGGAAGTGACACTATCCCGCCCTCCTCCTCCTCCTCCTCCTTTTCCTCCTCTTCTTTGTTCTCCTCTCCCCATCCTTCCACCATTTTCTCCATCTCCATATGCGTTTCACCACACTTGCAGCTGCCACAGCCAGCACCACCAGCACCAGCACCCGCACCAGCAGCAACACCAGCAGCACCAGCACCGCTAGAAGAACCAACATCCAAGCCCACACTACACCCTGTGACTCCACAACAACCTGCCAACCCCTTCCCTTTCATTCCCACCCCTTTTCCCGCCTTCCCCCTCAACCTCCCCTTCCTCCCCACACAAACCCCTCCCCTCCCCCCTCCACCCAGCCCAAGCACGGCGCTCATCCCAGGCCCAGCCAGCTGCCGAGGCACAGTATCCGCAGGGTCGGTGGCGTGCCCGAGCCTCTCGCCTCGGATCTCACTGCCTGCTGCCACAGCATTATTAAAGCTCTGGCTCGCATCACCATCAGCATCAGAATTCGCGGAAACAGCAGCAACAGGGAAAGCGGCAGCCGCAGCAGCAGGAGCAGCAGCAGCGGCAGCGGCAGCGGCAGCACCAGCAGCAGCAGCAGCAGTGACGGTGGTGCGTCTGCTGTCCCCCCGGCCGCCCCAAGAGAGAGTGAAGACGCGGCCCTCAGCTGAGAGCACTGCTGTGAAGAAATTCCCCAACGCCACCTGCATGGGGGAAGGGGTGGGAAGCAGAGAGAGGGGCATTGAAAGAGCGCAGAGAGCACTGCTGACTTTTGAGTCGACTCAAAAGCCCCCCCGTCCACCTCAACAGAGAGTGAAAGCGCGGCCCTCAGATGAGAGCACTGACGTGAAGAGATTCCCCAAAGTGACCTGCACGGGGGGAAGGGGGTGGGCGCAGAAAGAGGGGCATGTAAAACAGGGCTGCGAATGAGAAGCAGCAGAAGCAGCAGTGGCAGCGGGAGGGGTGCGTCTGCCGTCCCCCCGGCCACCCCAAGAGAGAGTGAAGGCACGGCCTTCCGCTGAGAGCACTGCCGTGAAGAAATTCCCCAAAGCGACCTGCGTGGGCAAGAGGTGAGAGCAGAGAGAAGGGTATGGAAAGAGCGCAGAGAAAGAGGGCATTAAAAGTGGGCATTGAAAGTGGGCATTAAAAGAGGGCATTAAAAGAGGGCATTGAAATAGGTCATTGAAAGAGGGCATTAAAAGAGGGCATTAAAAGAGGGCATTAAAAGAGAGCATTCAAAGAGGGCATTAAAAGAGGGCATTGAAAGAGGGCAGAGAGCACTGCTGTGAAGAAATTCCCAGCTGGTGGAGCACTGCAGTGCGACCTGTGTGGGAGCCGGAAAACGCCATCAGTTCTTGTGCATTCGTACTGGTATAAGTTGTAGAGCGCAAGATTGGCCAAAGTACATTGAACCTGGACATAATAGAAATGCTTTGAGACGTTTCAAACTCAAACGTGCTGAGTATCTTGAATTGAAACGACTTGAACCAGTGTCTGCAAACCGAACCTGGACGACTTGAATGTGCCGAAGCGAATGCACGAGCCGAGGCTCGGTGACAGGCTCGGGGGAGGTGAGGGAGTATTCCTGGTCGCCAAAGCAGTCCCTGCCGAAGTGATACACCGAGCCTGTGTCCGAGACCAGCATGGTCCTCGCCCGGCCTGCCGCTGCCTGCACCACCCGCACTCCTAGCAGCGATCTGCATATGAGAGGAGAAGGAGAGAGCATGGGGAAGGGGAGGAGGAGGCGGATAGAGAGCATGATTACTTGATACACCGAGCCTGTTTCCAACACTAGGATGGTCCGCGCCCTGCCTGGTGCTGCCTGCACCACCCGCACTTCCAGCAGAGTCCTGAGAATGGGAGAAGTGGAAGCAGGGATGAAACAGAGCGCTGAGCCTGTTGCAACCAGCACCGCCCGCGCTTCTAGCAGTGACCTGTGGCTGTGGGATGCTAGGACAGAGGCAGATGGAAAGGAGGGGGAAGATGGAGAGAGCACGGGTCTCGATAAGACTAGCCAGTGCCTTGGGTTATCATGGTCCGTTCCTGTGACATGCATGGTACCGCTCTCACATGCATGGTACCGCTCTCACATGCGTGGTACCGCTCTCACATGCATGGTACCGCTCTCACATGCATGGCACCGCTCTCACATGCATGGCACCGCTCTCACATGCATGGTACCGCTCTCACATGCATGATACCGCTCTCACATGCATGGTACCGCTCTCACATGCATGGCACCGCTCTCACATCCATGGTACCGCATGGTACCAGTTCACATGGCAACAAAGAGCGAGTTATATCACAATGCGTTTCTGATCTGAATGTGTAACTTGTTACTGTTAATACATCTGTTATCAAAAACGTTATCACTGATCTTCACCCCTCTTACCAGGTGACTTTTGAGTCGACTCAAAAGTCACCCCTCTTACCACAAATGCTAAGCACACTCTATGCACCCCTCTATGCATCATGGAACCATGCGACCAAGCCCTCACCTCACAATCTGAGGCTTCCAGGAAGGTTCCACGGACGCGTCACCGCTCCCCACCAGCCCCCTTTCAATCCCACTCCGTAAAGTCACAGTCACAGCCCCCGTTGCGGTGGTTGCTAGAGTGGTTGTCACATCGTTTGCAAGACCAGCAAACCCACCGACACCACCGGCAGCAGCAACAGCGGCAAAGCCACCAACACCACCAGCACCGAAAACACCAGCAGCACCACCAGCAGCAGCACCACCAGCACTTCCAGTCGCACTGGTAGCAGAAGCCAGGGGTCTCCCCAGCTGCCCTGCTGACCCATGCCCGAACGTCCACACCTCTCCACCGCGCCCCACCGCGACGCTGTGCGCACACCCCGCTGCCACTTGCGGCTGCCCGTGCCTGGCAGACAAAAATTTCAAGCCAGAGGGAAGATATATTCGACAGTTAGTCAGTGGGAAGCAAAAGGAGCAGGTACAGCAGGGAAACAACTTGCAAAAGCACAGTCGAGCAACAGCAAAGAGAGCGCGATTATGTGACGACGTTACCTAGCGTTACCACTTGTTACCAGATGCTACCAAGTGTTACCCTGACGTTACCTGATGTTACAAGAGGTCACCTTAGTTACCCTGTTACCTGGTGCTACGAGACGTTACCGGATGTCACAGAATGTCACGTCAGTTACCCTGATACCTGATGCAGGCGTCGCTGGTGATAAGAAAGCGCAGCAGAAGCTTCCACGAACGTCCGCAGCGCGCCCACAGCAGGCGCTGCTGCGCGCGCGGCAGCATGCGGAAGCGCAGGGAGTGCTGCTGGCAGCGGTCGTGCGCCGCCACTTCCGCCAGCGAGAGGCGCGGATGCGGAGTCAGATGCGCGGGGCGGCGGAAGAACCCGCACACGAGCTGGTGGGACGGGGAAGAGACAGGCAAAAAGAGGGAGAGACATGGGAAAGCGCACGGAGTGCTGCTGGCAGCGGTCGTGTGCCTAGCGAGAGGCGCGGGTGCGGAGACAGATGCGCGGGGCGGCGGAAGAACCCACACACGAGCTGTTGGAGCGCGGGTGGGGGGAAGAGACACGGGGGGGAAGGCAGAGGGGAGAGGCGGCACGGTGGAGAGACGGCACGCGGAAGCGCAGGGAGAGCTGCTGGCGTCGTGTGCCGCCGCTTCCGACAATGAGAGGCGCGGGTGCGGAGTCAGATGCGCGGCGCGGCGGAAGAACCCGCACATGAGCTGGCGGGGCACGCGAGGGGGACGCACGGGAAGGAAGGCAGAGGGGAGAGAAGGTGCGGGAGAGAAGGGTACGGGGGAGGGGCGAGACGGGAGAGAGCTGACTCCTTCTGCCGGAAAGACGCGCACTCGTTGAAAACTAAGCCACGCCCAGTTGTGCCGCGCGCCGCACCACAAGTCAGACAGCACGAAACTTCCAAAAGACGAGCGCGGCTTGATATGAGACAAAAGCATCACATGTCAAAGTAAAACCAAAGAAGCTACCAGCCAAGGCGACATTAAAAACGACGGCTCTGAGGCGACACCTCCAAACAAGGGCGCCGCGCGTTGAGATTATTACTCATTCTCAGGATCTGCTCGCACACGCGTTACCTCGAGGCGCGCGAGGTCCTCCGCAGACAGGCTGACGTCAGACAGAATCCGCAGCAGCACGCTCGAGTTAACCGCCAACAAAAGCTCCTCCGTCTCCCTCCGCTGACGCGAGAGCGGCGGTTCCTCAAACGCGGGTGCCGTCTCAACAGTAGCACCGACGGCGGTAGCATGTCCGGTTGTGTAGTGAGCGTCTGCTGAAGCATCGTCGCTGGCTGTAGCAGCAGTGATAAGAGACGTTGAAGGCACCGTAACGAGCGTCATCAGCTCCTTGGACCCGCCGCTCGAGCCGGCAGAAAGGCTCGTGACGGCGAGCGAGGGGTTGTCAGATATCATCGCGTCGCTGCTGCACGTGGCGCCAATCATGGCTGCTGGCTGCCTGAAGTTAAACAGCTAGAGTTTTTGTGCAGAAGGCGTGAAACGCGGCCCGTTCCCTCGTAGACGACAAGGTAGAACGGAAGCTACTCGTCGCGGCGGTTCCTTTTATGTCGTATGCAAGTCCGCAGGGTGAGATGGAAGTGAGCTGGAGTCCTTCAGATGGCACTTGGGAGTCCTGAGAATGGAAAATGGAATACTAGGCTAATCACAATACGGGAAACCACAGCCGCAGTCCTGAGAAGAAACTGGCCGACTGGTAGCCGAGGCACTAGTGCTCGTTTGAAACGAATTTCGTAGGAATTCGAGAAACACAAGGAGTTTTTTGTAGGAATTCGAGAAACACAAGGAGTTTTTCTTATTAACGGAACAGCAAAGCACGAGCCTCGACGAGAGTCGCGCTTTCGCTGCCCCTTAAGACGACGACTTTTTGCCTTACAGAACCTTGAAACCTGAGTAATCCTGCGATCTAGAACGTGCTGAAGAGTTTTCCGTGATGGAGAGAGAGAAATAGGAATGGCAGAGCAGGAGAACGTCCTGAAATACAACTGCGAACACCTTTCTAGGCTGAAGAAAGCAAGGGTTTCAAAGCAAGCACGGGTGATTCGGAGGCGTAGCCAGCTAATGTGTCATGCGTGCAGGAATTTGGCAGAGGGGTGCTTGATGAAAGTGAGGAAGGTGAAAAATTACGTGCAAATGGGAATGGAATGGTGATGAGGCAATGTGAGGCGAGCCGAGGCGAATGACGAATGACATTCCCAAGGGCGAATTCCTCCGAGGCCTTGGACGAACGAATGCATTTGGTTTGGTGGTGTGAGCTCATTTGTCAGAGGGAATGACGGACCGCCCTGGTTTTGGGTTTCCGATTCCTTTCGGAAGTGGTTTTGACACCGCCTTGCTTCTTGCTCGAGTCCGATACCTTCGGTCAGTTATTTACGCTATTGCCCCTTTACGAGTCCAGAGACATATATTGTGTTTATTTATCGGGATAGCATAAATTGAATTGTCGCGTCAATTACGAGAAGCTCGGGACAAAAAATATATACCCCTCATGGAGGGCATGCCATTTGGGAGGCATCAACCCTAAACACCATGAGGCAAGGTGTTTAAGGTTGATGCCTCCCAAATTGCCAGCCATCCGAGAGGAATGATTTTTTCCACTGGCCACTAAACTAAAGCCAGGTAAACTTCAGAATTTTCCTGGTCACTGGAAATTGGAAATGTCGAAATCGGCTGCCCCAAGGAATCGGACACGAGCGGAGAAGCAAGGCGGTGTCAAAGCCACTGCCCAAAGGAATCGGAAACTTGAAAACAGGGCGATTTGTCATTTCCTCTCATTTCTCATCTCACAGGGTGTGCGTCTCGGGAGGAAGCAAATGCGATGTGGGCATGGTTGTGTATGAATTGGCTTGGAAAAATGGTTCGGGGAGGTTTGAGAGTACCGTACCAATGAATGATGTTGTCTAAGACTGTCCATGATTGGCTGAAATTTGATAAAGAGCTCTGACTGGGTACTGTCAGGCCACAACGATGATGTTTTGAGCCCGACCGAGGCTAAACATGCAAACCTAAATACATGCCGAAAACTAGGCATGGTGATTACGTAAGGGCTCCTGGCTGGCGAGGATGTGGTGTGGTTGATGGTCTAGGGCAAGATGACAATGAACATGATTGGCTGAACATCTCATCTTATGCCATCGATGTTTGACGCGCGTGATGGTGTGGTGTGGCGTGATAGGCTGCATCCCTTCCGGATGTCACGAGACAATCCCAAAGCAGGTCGAGGTTCGTGCCGATAGGCTCGATAGGGATGCCCCATTTTCGATTGGATGCCATACGTGCAATATCGACGGCGTAGACAATTTACTCACAGCCATCGACGGCATTCTACTGCACGAGCATCCAAGTGGAAGGAAGGGCAATTTTCAGCCCTTATGTCGTCAACACCCCTGCAATCCAGCTCAGCTCCCATTTGTGAATGAGTGGTGGGATGGTTGTTCTACACCAGGCGAATCTCCATCCACATTTCGTTAGCGGTAGTGTGAGCTGAATCGGGCTTTTAGCGAGTACGGTCCACTCAGCTTCAGATATCCAGACAATAGTAGACGACCCATTCCACCCATGATTGTTTAGCTTGGAGGCACAGTTTCGAGGTTTGACGAAGAGCGGCAATAGGGAGGGACGTAAGACAGGATACGAAAGGAACAAAATCGTCAACATAGCTTATATGATCGTACCGCGTTTCCGTGATCATCTCTATACCTTCTCCACTACAGAATTTCAGTGGAATTTCGCCAATTCTGCCTCGCGGTTATGAAAGGGCACCTTCGCAATACTTTACTGTTCAACTCTTTTGTAATTACCAACTGAAGGCTTCACGGTGAAGCTTCTTACCGATCCTTCTCCAATGAATTCGCTCGCCAGATTCGTCAGGCGAACCGCGAGAACGCGATATCATCCCACGCGGCATTCCATGGGCGGGAAAATTGCGCTGGAGTATGTGAGGAGGGCTCGCGCGGGGGAATTGCCAGTGATGCTGCCGCAGCAGGTAGGATGAGCTCAATGGGAGGGTAGGTGAGGGCGTGAAGGAGGTGAGGGAGTGAGTAAAGGAGAGCAAGGGTGGTAATGGAAGAAGAGGGGGCGGCGAGAGGGGGGGGAACTGTCAATGAGGATGCCGCAGCAGTGGGATGAAATCTATTGGTGGGGGGGCGTGGTAGCGTTCAGAGGATTGAAGGAGATGCGGGAGTTAGGGAGGGCGAGGGTGGTAACAGGATTTTTTAAGCTGTTGCCACAGCAGGTGGGAGTAAGACGTGATCAAGCGAGGGCGTGAGGTTGTGCGGGCGGAAAGAATGATAAATTCTAGGTGCTTCAAAAGTGGTGAAGCGAGGGCGTGAGATTGTGCGGGCGGAAAGAATGATAAATTCTAGGCGCTTCAAAAGTGGTGAAGCGAGGGCGTGAGATTGTGCGGGCGGAAAGAATGATAAATTCTAGGCGCTTCAAAATTGGTGAAGTGAGGGCGTGAGGTTGTGAGGGCGGGAGGAATGATCATGCTTTCACTGCTCATGCTGGCAGCATTCCCTGATGTGAATCTTCCCTACGTCTTTCATTGTCCCTTCTGTTTTTTCAGTTGTGGGTGCTGGATTCGGTGCCAGGCCGCATATCTGACTGTGCATTGGGTGAGGATGCGGAGAGAAGGGACGTTGAAAGGGTTATTGCCACTCTGCAGGAGCTGCCTCGGCCCATCCCCTCTAAACGGTACCATTCAATCATGCTTCTGAAAGGGATTTTCCCTTGTTGATTTTGCCCTCCTACTGATCAAACCGGTGATTCTCCATCCAGTTAAAAATTCCGCCCCTCCTTATCCCAAACCGAACATGGTTTGACATGGGGTTTGCTCGATTTTCTCCGCCACATCTTATCCGAACTCCCATCCCGTCCAAAGGCACTCTTTGCCGCGCTTGTCCTCCCTTGCATGCTTTATGTTCCTTAGTCTGATCATGGAAGGAAGCACCATAACCCACGTGCGTTCCCTGATCCACATGCACCATCCACAAATGCATCTGGATGCACCATTATGCCGAGCAATAATGGCATAATGGTGGACCAGATGCATCATGCCGACATGCATCATGCTTGCATGTCCCATGCCTGAATACACCTCCCGAACCTCAGGTGGCTTCTCCAGGAGCTGACTCAGCGCCGAGGCTTCTCCTCAGGCTTGGCAGAGTGGCTTGCCACGAGCCTCAGACCCATAGCTGCTTCGTCTGGCTCAGCTAGCTCGGCTGGTTCTGCTGCTGCCGGGGCTGGCGTGAATGGGGAGATGGATTGGGTGTTCAACCTGGATGGCGCTGTTTCTCTCTATAACAGCTACAGGTGACTATGAGAGTTTTCAAAGGAGTATGTGCGGGGGAGTGTGTGGTGGAAAGCGTGTTGAAGGGAGGGAGGGGGAGAGGGGAGGGGTGGAGGGAGGGTGGGAGGTAGAGATGGCGCTGCCGGGGCTGGTGGGAATGGGGAGATGGATTGGGTGTTCAATCTGGATGGCGCTGTTTCTCTACAACAGCTACAGGTGACCATGAGAGAGTGTGTGTGGGGGGGTGTGTGCGGGGTGTGTGTGCGGGGGAGTGTGTGTGGGGGAGTGTGTGTGGGGGAGTGTGTATTGGGGGTAAAGGGAGGGTGGAAACAAGCGATGGGGAGATGGATTGCTGTTCAACCTGGATGGCGCTGTTTCTCCCTATAACAGGTGACCGTGAGAGGGAGCTTTTGGGGAGTGGGAATGTGAGGGAGTGAGGGAGTGGGGGGGGGAGGGACGGAGGAGCATGTGTGTGAACGGGGGGTCAGGGGAAGACATGTTTGTTTGTGTGTCTGCCCGTGTGTGTGCATGGTTGACAGAGAAAAGGGAGGGGGGGAGGGGTGGAAATGGGGGGAAGAAGTAACAAAGAATGTTGGAAGAAAGGAAGGGAGGAGAAGTGCACGAAGCAAAGAGCATGAAAGTCTTTTAGCAAGCATTCTCAACTTGTCTCTACGTTTTATCCTGATTCGAAATTTGTACTCTCAGATTCCACACCTTGCAATTCCATGTTCTTGTGTGGCATGACGTGGCATGACATGGCGTGACATGGTGTGACAGGCAAACGGATCTGCTACCCTTCGTGAAAAACCTGTGCAATCGGCCACATGAGCAGCAGCAACACCCTTTACAAGCACATCTTCTGCAGTCGCATCCGTCACAATCACAAGATCTGGAGCAGCAACGGAAGGTCGGAGTGGAGAGGGATTCAAGACCCAAGTTTGTGAGACCAGGAGCGAGTGAGGGTGTTAAGTGGGGAGTGGTGCAGCAGCCTTGGCACCAGTCCATGCAGGCCCAGGAGCAGCAAATTCAGCAGCCGCTGCAGCAACAGCAACAGGAGCAACAGCAGCAGCACCGGCAAGACCAGCAGGAGGAGCAGGGAGTGGCTAAGGAGAAGCAGGCAGGACGTGGTTGCACGCAGGTACATTTCGTCAAAGGGGAGAGGAGTGGCGTGTGGAAAGCCAAGTGCCTTGCTGACCTGGAGGCGGCTGTTGCTGAGTCAGCGAAGTGCGAAGAGGAGAGTTTTGATTCGCTGAGCAATGGGGGAGATGGGAGCGGGAAAAAGGGATGCAGAGCGCATTTGCATGTTCTGAAGGGAGCTGGGCATTGGGTGCATGTGGACAACCCGACGGGACTTGTGCAGCTGATGGAAAAACATTTGATAGAGGTTTCAGTTTGAAAATTTATTCATTATTTTATTCATGGAACGTCTTGTAGTTTTCATTCTTTCTTGCAAGAGTATCTACATTACTGGTACTTATTGGAAAATTTGCAAAATCTGGACTCGCTATCATCTCTCCACCCGCCCTCCCCCTTCGCCTCGCTCTCCCTCCCCCCGAACCCCCTTTCCCCCACTTCCCCCCCAAGCACCCTCCCGACGCCCCCACGCGACCATGGCGGTCAGTGCGAGCACCCGCGCAGCAGTCACACCCATCGCACAGGTAGCAGTTCACCACACACCTTACCCCAGACCCCCCACCACTTCCGCCCGTCGCATCGCCGCCGTTCCCGCTCGCCTCATCCCACCCATTCTAACACCTCAACGTCGCTTTTATTCAACATTTGCGCGACGCCTTCCTTGCGTGTCTTCCAGCCACTAGATCTCTTCCCCCTCTACACTCCCCGCTTATCTCCGATATGGCGTGCCCCGGTGCCCGTCGCGAGGGTCTGAGGCTCCTGCGATCGATCTACGATGTCGGCGTCGTCGCCGCGGCGCGCGCTCCTGTGACTCACGGCGCTGCTGCCGCCGCGGCGATGCCGATGGCACAGCAGGTGGTCGGCGGGTGAGTCGTTCCTGGCCATCAGTCAACTCCGAGGTTATAAGATCCGATCCATTCGTTTTTGGCCGTGAATCGCGCCGTTGATGCCGCTCAGCGATCGCGCAGCGTATCCGCCATCTACGGTACTCCAGGTGGTTGGAGCGCTTAGCGAATGGGCTATGTATGTAGTCTACGTGTCAAGACGTTAGTCAAAACCGTTTTACCGGAGTTTCGTACCGTCGGAGCGCTTTAGGGTTCCTCGTATCTGGGAGGAGGTGACGTCTTGCCTAGACGCCCTCATCCGAGGTGTGACGTCAGCCATGCGCAGAACAGAAAAATCCTCGAAGCAGCTGACGATGACGTCACAACAGATTCGTACGCAGTGGCTCTAGAGACAACCATAATTCCGATATCAGCACGGGTAATGAGAGGCTATAACAGGGACAGGGCTGCGATTTGGCCGATTGGTTTGGGTCGTCTAGCAGGTCTGCGACGACCACGGAGCGATCAAGCACGATGATCCGATCTGCGATTTGGCCGATTGGGTCGCACACTTCGCCAGTCGCCAGCCGCTGCGGCAGATCCGATCTATTAGTCGTAGCTCTCACCAACGCGAAACTGCTAGTAGTAATATTTTTGAGACGGCTCAAGCCAATCCATTCCATGAGTCGCAGCTCGCAACAATGCAGAGCTCGCTGGTAGTTAGGTTTTTTTTACGCATCCATTTTATTAGTCGCAGCCCTCACCAATGCACAGCTTGCCGGTAGTCTGCTCCCTGTTCCCGCGCAAGTTTGCGCGAACTCGCCCAGTGCGTCTGTGGTTTCGTTAGTTTGTCTTTGGTTTGTGGTATTCTGGCTCAGCGTCTTGCCAGCTTAGGCGACCTGATTATGACGAGCGTGAGTATGAGCGAAGTGACTAAGGCGTTCGGTGGCCTTGCAGTGCGAGAAGCGTGAAGAGTTTTGAGTCGACTCAAAACTCGTCTCATTTCACGGGGAGCTCGGTGACCTTGCAGTGCGGGAAGCGTCCTATTCGCTGTTCCGTTTCTCCCACACCCCCTCCCCCCCCCCCCTTTTTTCCAACTGCTCGCTCCGTTCGTGACGCTTCTTGTCCTCTCTGCAATACTTTTCCCGGAGCTTTCCTGCGCGATTTTTGAGGCGCCTCAAAAACTTTTCCCGGAGCTTTCCTGCGCGTTCCAACTGCTTTGAAATGACTAGGAATCTGGTTTACCATCTAATCGTCTGCCCGTGGTTCTCTCTTCTCCCCCTTTTCCTTTTCCAACCCCCATTTGAGTCCCTTGGTCGTCCATACCTGCTTCCCCACTTCCTCTCCCCCTTCCTTCCCCCTTCCCTCCTATCTCTCACTCCATTGCAAACTCTCACCTTCACTCCCCTTTCCTCTTCTCTGATGTTCCCCCTTTCCCGTCTTCCGCCGCCCTCCGCGTCCCCCGCTCGTTCCCCCCCCCCTCCGCTCCTTCCGCCTCCTCTGCCCCTCTCCACGTGCTCCCGCTCCCTTCCTCCCTCGTCCGCGTGCAGCGACATCGCCCCTGCTAGCGCGCGCTTCGCGTCGCAGCTCGCAGGTACGCGCGTTGCCGCATGTAGTTCTGAATTGCCCCCCCCCCCCCAAAAAAAAAACAAAACTTGCGACTACGGGTTGCGGATGATAGGGGCCTTTCCAGGGATACGGGGTGAAAGAGAGAGGCGGCTGTTGAGCCTGAGGCTCTATGATTAAGTTCCAGAAAAGGCTTGAGTCAAGGGGGAAGGAAGGAAGGAAGAAGTATGTGAGGTGGGGTGGGGTGGGGTTTGTCTCTCTGTGTGGGCTCTGTGGTCGGGGGGTCCTCGGGAGAAAGGGCCTTGGCAAGGGAGTCAAGGCAGAGGAGTGGGGGGCCTTCCATTCTTGAAATCACTTTTGAGAATTCTCAAAAGGTCCTCGGGAGAAAGGGCCTTGTGAAGGGAGTCAAGGCAGAGGAGTGGGGGCAGTGGAGAAAGGGCCTTGCATTCTTGCATTGACTTGACTCCCTTTCGCCACACTTCCCCCATTTACTGCCCCCCCACTCCTCTGCCTCTTTGTCCCATTCTCAGTGTGCAATCGCATGAAGTCAGTGCGCAGCATTCAGAAGATCACCAAGGCCATGAAGATGCTGGCTGATGCTTTAATCCTGTTACCCTGTTACCCTGCTGTGTCCCCATCCCCCCGGTCTCCAGTGCGCAACCGCATGAAGTCAGTGCGCAACCGCATGAAGTCAGTGCGCAGCATTCAGAAGATCACCCAGGCCATGAAGATGGTGGCTGATCCATCTACCCCCCTCTCCCCCCCTTCCCATTCTCCCTCCTTTTCTCCCATTCCCCCCCAGTGCGCAATCGCATGAAGTCAGTGCGCAGCATTCAGAAGATCACCAAGGCAATGAAGATGGTGGCGGCGTCTAAGCTGAGGGGCGTGCAGGGCAAGACGGAGCAGAGCCGCGGCATGTGGCAGCCCTTTACCGCCCTCCTTGGCGATAACCCCAGTGAGTTTGAGTGCTGAGAGTGCCCATGTGAAAGGGGCAGAGAGGTTGGGAAGCTGAGGGGCGTGCAGGGCAAGACGGAGCAGAGCCGCGGCATGTGGCAGCCCTTCACGGCCTTGCTTGGCGACAACCCCAGTGAGTGCTGGGGGCGTCGAGTGAGTGATTTGGTCTGTACTCTATGCGCTGCCCTGCATGTGAGGAAGCAGCGAGGCGGCGTCTAAGCTGAGGGGCGTCCAGGGCATGACAGAGCAGAGCCGCGGCATGTGGCAGCCCTTTACCGCCCTGCTGTGCTCGGGGATAATCCCGGTGAGTTATTGGACGCCTTAAAGGGCGAGGGGCCAGATAGTGCAGTGACAGAGCGGCTGAGAGGCGAGGGACGTGCAAGGGCAAGACAGAGCAGCGCCGCGGGACGTCCGATGTGGCAGCCTTTCACTGCTGTGCTCTGCTCGGGGATAATCAGTAAGCCTTGGGTGTTGAGAGTGCCGTTCCTCGTCCTGCGTAGAAGCTAGGCCTGTGTATATATAACCCATGTCCCATGTGTGGTAGGGGCGGACAGACAAGCTGGGTGATGGTGGGTGGGGGCCGTGGTCACTCATGGGTAGGAAGGGCTGCAGTGATAGGGAATGCTTTTAGCAAGAAAGAGAGAGAGAGTAGAAAATCCCTTGGTAGACAGACACGCTGGGTGATGGTGGGGGGCATGCAGTGCATGCAGGGCAAGACGGAGCAGAGCCGCGGCACGTTGCAGCCTTGCTCGGGGATATTCCCAGTGGGCGTTTTAAGACGTCTCAAAACAAAACACCACTTTTATCACCTTTACTGCCTTGCTCAGGGATATTCCCCCAGTGGGTGCAGTGGCACCAACTGCCCTTGCTCACTGAGCTTAGGCTGTTCACTAGCCTAAGCTCAGCCTAGAGGAGATTAGGACGAGTTAACTGTTGGATCCAGGTCGAAACTACCTTTCTATACTCCCCCACTGGGTGCAGTGGCACCAACTGCCCTTGTTCGCTGCCTCATGCTCCTCTCTTTTGAGGCGCCTCGCCTCAAAACACGTGGCAGGCGGCCTTTACTGCCTTGCTCAGTGATAACCCCTGTGGGTGCAGTGACTTTTGAGACGTCTCAAAAGGCGGCCTTTACTGCCTTGCTAGGGGATATTCCCAGTGGGTGTTTTGAGACGTCTCAAAACACTACTTTTATCACCTTTACTGCCTTGCTCAGGGATATCCCCAGTGGGTGCAGTGACTTTTGAGTCGACTCAAAAGTCGGCCGTTACTGCCTTGCTAGGGGATACTCCCAGTGACTGTTGAGTCGACTCAAAGTCCGGCCTTTACTGCCTTGCTAGGGGATATCCCCAGTGGGTGCAGTGGCACCAACTTCCCTTGTTCACTGCCTCGTGCTCCTATCTCCCTTCTCCCCTCCCCTTCCACCAGCCCTGGTCGCCCCCCGCACACTGGTGATCACTGTGTCAACGGACAGGGGTCTGTGTGGCGGCATCAACTCTACGGTCGTGAAGCACAGCCGTGCTGTCTCTGCCATCTCTGCTCCCTGTGAGTGCTGCTGCTGTCTGCTAAGCGTGCTGCTCTCATTAGTTGTGCGTTTCATACAGTGTAAAAGCGCAGCGCACTAGTCAACGGACAGGGGGCTGTGTGGCGGCATCAACTCCACTGTCGTGAAGCACAGCCGTGCTGTCTCTGCCATCTCTGCGCCCTGTGAGTTCTTGTTGCTGTGTTGCTGCTGTGCTATACATGCACCGCAAGAGCACACCTGTCAACGGATAGGGGTCTGTGTGGTGGCAGAATTTGTGTTTTTTTTTTTTTTTTTTTAATCCATGTTTTGAGGATTCGTTTTTGGGAATTCTCAAAAAACGGATTCAACGGACAAGGGTCTGTGTAGATGCATCAACTCGACTGTGATTCTGGGCGAGAAGGCGAAGCTGCAGCTGCAGACAGGACGGCTTGAATAAGGACAATAAAAATCCATCCCGCCGTCCGTGTGATAAGTCGTTTTTTTATTCGACAAAAAAATCGACTTATCAGCTGCAGACAGGTTGAATGAGGTCAAGAACAAATCATCCCGCCTTCTCCTCGCCTCCTCACCCCGTCCCTCTCTCCCAGCAGCCGAGGAGAACAAGTCGGTGTTTGTGATTCTGGGCGAGAAGGCGAAGCTGCAGCTGCAGAGGGGTATGGTCCTCACCCCCCTCCCCCACCCTCCCCCACCTCCCCCTCCCTCCACCCTGTCCCTCCCATCTCCCAGCAGCGGAGGAGAGCAAGTCAGTGTTTGTGATTCTGGGCGAGAAGGCGAAGCTGCAGCTGCAGCGGGACTCGAACAACACAATTGTGATGACTGTTGCCGACACGCAGAAGCAGGGCATCAACTTCACTCAGGTGAGGGGCGGTGCAAAACAGTGCAGAACGGTACTGATTAGTTCAGAATGGTGTCGAGAGGTAGGGAGGGACGCCAGGGGGGGGGGAGGTGAAGCTGCAGCAGCAAAGAGATTCGAACAACACAATTGTGATGACCATGGCTGACACTCAGAAGCAGGGCATCAACTTAACGCAGGTGAGGAGTGGAGAGCGGTGCTGAACAGTGTAGATGGGTACAGATTGGTGCAGTGCGGTGCAGAGTGGTGCTGGGAGGTAAGGAGGTACGCCAGAGAGGTGAAACTGCAGCTGCAGAGAGATTCGAACAACACAATTGTGATGACCGTGGCTGACTCTCAGAAGCAGGGCATCAACTTCACTCAGGTGAGGGATGCCGAGAGGCAGGAAGCGGTGCAGAGTGGTGTCAAGAGGTGAGTGGTGACAGAGAGGCGAAGCTGCGGCTGCAGAGAGACACCTCTAAGTTCCAGCACCATTGTCATGACTGTTGCCGACCTGTAGAAGCAGGGTTTCACACCCCCAGACGTCCATGGTAATAGTGGACGAGATTCTTAAGGGCGTTGAGTTTGACACCAATCACTGGCATCTCTGAATGGAATCACTCACCTAAACACCCATCCACGCAAACCCCTCGCCCCCACCCACCCCCCACACATCCCCAGACGAGCGTTGATAATAGTGGATGAGATTCTCACGAGCACTGAGTTCGACACAGCGCGCTTCATCTACAACTGGCCGCTGGAAACTCGACGGTTTGCGGTGACCTACGTCAACCCACCTCCCTATGCAGGCACCCAACCCCATGCCTCAACTCCCCCCTTTCCCCCCCCCCCCAACATCCACTACCCCAGTCGTCTATGATTGTTGACGACATTCTCAAGAGTCAAGAGCGTCGAGTTTGACACGGCGCGCATCATGCCGTGACTTACCTCAGTGGTTCAAATTAAACCCACCTTCCTATCTACACACACACTCAAACCCATGGTTCTCCAACCCCCCCTCAACACATACATACCCCCAGACGTCCATGATTGTGGATGAGATCGAGGAACGTCGAGTTTGACACGGCTCGCTCACATCATCTTGTGATCCCCGTGTCTCGTCATCTTTGCCACTCCCATCACTCACCCGCCTCCCCCAGACGTCCATGATTGTGGATGAGATCCTGAAGAACGTGGAGTTTGGCACGGCTCGCATCATCTACAACTGCTTCAACCTGTGACCTACATCAACCCACCCTTGTGTACACCCAACCAACCCCATGACTCCCATTGCCCCCCCCCCCTCCCCCCCCCCCGGCCCCAGACGTCCATGATAGTGGATGAGATTCTCAAGAACGTTGAGTTCGATACCGCGCGCATCATCACCGCCCTCTCCCTCCTCTCCATCCCCTCCCCAACCCCCCCTCCTCACCTTCATCAGACGTCCATGATAGTGGATGAGATTCTCAAGAACGTGGAGTTTGACACGGCGCGCATCATCTACAACCGCTTCAACTCTGTTGTGGCTTTCGTGCCAACTGTCTCCACCGTGCTCTCGCCCGAGGTGAGGGGAGATGGGGTTTTATGCGGTGTGTAGGAAGGTGTGGTGGGGTGTAGAGAGGTGTTGTGCGCCCACTGCATCATCTACAACCGCTTCAACTCCGTGGTCGCCTTTGTTCCTACTGTCTCCACCGTGCTCTCGCCTGAGGTGTGAATGGGGGGATGTGGGGAGGCGTAGTGGGGTATGGGCCAGTGTGGTGCTGTGTAGGGGGTTGAGGTGTGCCCACGGCATCATCTACAACCTCTTCAACTCCGTCGTGGCCTTCGTGCCCACCGTCTCCACCGTGCTCTCGCCCGAGGTGAGGTGTGGTGGGGTGGGGTGCGGTGTAGGAAGGTGTTGTGCAGTGTGAGGAGGTGTGGGGGGGTGTGTGGCGAGGTGTGGGGAGGTGTGGTGCGCCCATGGCATCATCCACAACCACTTCACCGCCGCCGTCGCCTTTGTGCCAACTGTCTCCACTGTGCTCTCGCCCAAGGTGAAGTGTGGTGGGAGTGTGGCAGGGTGTGGGGGATTCTGGAGGGCCCACCACCACATTGTCTACAACAGTTTCATCTCTGGTCGCCTTTGCACCCTGCTGCCTACCATCTCTCCACCATGCTCTCACCCTGCCTACCATCTCTCCACCATGCTCTCACCCTGCCTACCATCTCTCCACCATGCTCTCACCCGTCACGTGCGCTGTCTTCTCACCCCCATATTATCCCCCACCGCCAGACTCTCCTCAAGGAGGCAGCGGAGGGCGGCAGTGCGAGCCAGCTGGCAGAGTATGAGATCGAGGGCGAGGGCAGGTGCGAGGCTTACCAAACACATTCTCGTGTGCGTTCCCTTCTTGTCCTTCTCCCTTGCCCTCCATCAGACCTTCTTGAAGGAGGCAGCTTAGGGCGGCAGTGCTATCCAGCTCGCAGAGTACGAGATCGAGGGCGAGGAGGGGCAGGGCAGGTGTGGGTGTGTCACACGTTTTTTTGTCATTCATTCATCACCCATTCTCCCATCCCCCATTCTCCCATCCCCTCGACCAGACTCTCCTCAAGGAGGCAGCGGAGGGTGGCAGCGCGAGCCAGCTGGCAGAGTATGAGATCGAGGGCGAGGAGGGGCAGGAAGAGCTCTTCCAGAACCTCTCCGAGTTCCAGCTGGCATCGGTGAGTGGGGTGGATGGGTGGGAAGAAAGAGGGCTTGTATGGTGACCTCGAGGGCCATCAGTTGGCATATAAGAGATTGCTCCAACAGCATGGAGGGCCAGGAGGAGCTCTTCCAGAACCTCTCCGAGTTCCAGCTCGCGTCGGTGAGTGGGCTGGGTGGGTGGGTGGGATAGCGGGCTTGTATGGTGAGATGTGGACCAAGATTCGCTTCAGTAGCATGGAGGAGGGACAGGAGGAGCCCCTCCCTCTGTGCCCCTCTCTTCCCTTCACCCCCAGACGCTGTACAATGCACGGCTGGAGAATGCGTGCAGTCAGCAGGCGGCATACGTGTCAGCCATGGACAACTCCCCTCCCTTGTTCCCTTTGCCCCGATCCCACGGCCCACCCGGAGGCTGTACAATGCGCAGCTGAATTTTGAGTCGACTCAAAAGCCACTCCCACAGCCCAACCAGAGGCTGTAGAACGCAAACTGGAGAACGCATGCAGTGAGCAGGGCGCGCGCATGTCCGCAATGGACAACTCCTCCCTTTCCTTTCAGTCCCTACTTCCATGTTCACCTTGTGTTGCATTATTCGTCTCGCACACAGACGCTCTACAACGCGCAGCTGGAGAACGCGTGCAGTGAGCAGGGCGCGCGCATGTCAGCAATGGACAACTCCTCCCGCAACGCCTCCGACATGCTTGGCCGTCTCACTCTCTCCTACAATAGGTGTGTGCCGGTGCTGCCAAACAGGTTTTTTTATCCTTTGAGGCAGCGAGATTGAGATCACTTTTGAGAATTCTCAAAAGTGATTTGAACATGTGCCAGTGCTGCCAAACAGGTATGTTTTGTCTTTGAGGCAGCTAGACGTCTCAAAAACAGGTATGTTTCGTCTTTGAGGCAGCTAAACAACTTTTGGGACGTCTCAAAAACAGGTATGTTTCGTCTTTGAGGCAGCTAAACATTGTCGCCTCACTCTCTCCCACAACGGGGGTGCACGCCAATCGTGCCTAGGATTGATGCGGTTTGAATCCAAACCCAAGGTCCCCAGGTCTGAAAGGTAGAAACTTGGTCGGTCGACGCAGGATTTGTGATCGTGAACAGGGGCGAACATTGAGAAGGCCAACTGAAGGTAGAAAGATGAACTGGTTTTGGGGGATTTGCACCTGCTCAGCAACCTGTTCAACAGCAGGCGGGCAACATCACAATAGTGCTGAAGGTTGGGATCAAAATAGAAAAAGGTGCTAACTAACAGGTGGGCCGCCTCACTCTCCTACAAGAGATACGTGTCACTCGTTCTGAAGAGATACGCGTCACTCGGTCTGAAGGTTGCCTATTGAGTGCATCGAAGCATTGTATAGTGGCGTTGTTTTTTAACATTCACTCCCGCCCACCTCCCCTCCACGTGCAGGTCTCGCCAGGCCACCATCACCACGGAGCTTATCGAACTAATAATCTAAATGCTTTATACTATTATTCTGTACTCTCTTGTTCTCCCCACGTGCAGGTCTCGCCAGGCCACCATCACCACGGAGCTTATCGAGATTATTTCTGGTGCTGCGGCTCTGGAGGGCTAGGGCTGATGCTGTAAGTGCACATGCCTCAACTGCCTGTTGTGTAACCACCTGTTGAGACTTCGGTACTGGTCTAACATGGACATTACCTGTTTCCGCAGGTCTGTACCCGTTTGTGGTATTAATGTGACTGTCGGTCGGTGTTTGTTTGTGTGCTGCTGAGATTAAAATGCTTATCCATTGATTCAATCAATCGCTAGGCTCTGTACATGGCATAATTTAGGTGTTGGCAAACCTATGTTTGTACTTGTTTAATAATTTCCATGTCGCAGAATTCTGATCCAGCTCTTAGTACCACGAAAGGAGTTAAGGTTTAAATGGATTCCTTAGTAGTAGTGTCATTTCACAGTGCATCTAAGTGATTCAGATTTTACAACGTCACTGTAGCTAAGCATAGTGTAATCCTGTCTGGCTTCGCTACAGCGAATTTATTCAACAACCATCTCCCTCACCTGTTGACTGGGCCCGCTTTATTTACCCGCATCAACCAGCCTGCAAAAGGGGAGACTAGTAATGTTCGTTCAAAACCGAACCGAACCGCTTTATGCCTCTGAAACAACCGTTTTGAAACGCAGACAATTCGTTTGTAACGCACGAAGTGAACTCCCTCCACACACCTCAGTCTGGTCTGGTAGCATCTCCCCTTTCTTCGCACTGATCACATGCACCTTACTCTACTACCTAACTACTTCCACCTAATTAGGAACCCAAGTCATATTACTCGGCTGCTAAAGCATGGCGATTTCACGTACCCAACCTCAGCTAGCGCAACCGCGGAAGTGACTCCCGCCGCCGCAATGCCGTGCTCCCCGTATGAAATCCGCGTGCAGTGAGGTGTCTCAAAATACACCGCAATGCCGTGCTCCCCGTTTTGAGACGTCTCAAAACTATGCCGTGCTCCCCGCTCTCTGCCGCGACGTGTGGCAACAGCTGGCTCTAAAAGTCTCTGATCCACCTACTTAGTATCGCCGGTTCGGATTTGAGAGATTTCCGGTTCTGGTTCACAAATGGAGGTTCCGTTGTTTCGCATCCTCCGCTAATCCACCTATTTAAGAATTCCGTGTTCCTGTCCGCAATTCTCGGTGCACTGACGGAGTAAGCTTTGAGAAATGACAGACTTGACCAGTACAATAGAAAAAAACAAATTGTTAAGTTCTTTTTTCGTCGTCTAATCCTGCTCGAATATCCGTACCCCTGACGGTATTTACTGACTAGAGCAGGAGCATTTGCCGCACAATGCGGCCGCCATGGCTGGGATCATCCCCTCCCGCCGGCGCCGGCAGTCCATTCAGCACCTCCAGCCCCAGCAACGTGATCCTAACCACCGGAAGACACGGCGGATCTAACGGCGGGTTTGCCGGCGGGCTGTTTAACTCCTTGTGGGCGTACGCGCGGCCCGGGCGATGGTGGCTCGCGATATTAATAATCTGCGCGTTTCAAGGGGTCTTACTATGGCACTGGTCGAATACCTCCTCTATAGTATTTTCCGATCAGAAAAGCGCATCCGGCGCCGCAATTGGCGGGAAAGGAGGGTCGCTGAATAGGCAAAGACTAGGCGATGCTGCCGCGGCCGCCGCCGCCGCTTCCGTGTTCCGACGCCACCTAATCATTGAATCGCAGGAGCAGGCTCAGGACGTATCTAATCTCCGGTCGCTACCCTTTAACCCCACGACCGCGTCGCTCTCCGCGGCCGCTTTAGAGGAATTAGTTCGCAAAGTGGCGGAGAACGTGTCGCAGCGCATCGAGTCGCACGAGGCGGTGCTAGTTAATCTGGGAATTAAGTTGCTCAACAGAGAGCAGCAGCTGTCTAAGATCGATCAAGTGATCGCGGCGCTGGGGAAAATACCTCCGGAAACTATTAAAGCGGTCTTACAAGCACAGCTCGATATAAAGCAGCAGCAGGCGGCGGAAAGGGAAGGGGGAAGGGGAGAAGGAGGAGCAGGAGCAGGCGGAAGGCAAGGCGGAAGCGGACAAGCGGAAGCAGGGGGCGCGGGGAGCGGGCCAGGGGGAGGCGCGGAGGGGGAAGCATGGGGGGAACTCCCGGAGCCCATTCCCCCTCCGCCCAAGCCGTGCAAGCGACAAAAAGACCTGGGGCGGTCGGGGGGAAAGGTCGTCTGGCGGGTAGACGGGGGGGAGGCGGAGGGGGAGGAGCGTCCGCGGAAATACCTCCTAGCTATGTGCTCGGGAGGGCAATTAAGTAACCGCATTTCGTGCCTAAGACAGCATTTTCTAGACGCGGCGCTGCTGAATCGCACGCTGGTGTTCCCATCGCACGGGCCCGGAGTGGACTATGACTATGAGCGGCTGTTGGATATGGAGGCGCCCAGACGGTGCTTTGGCAACCAGACGTTTCTTACCCTCGATGAATACGCTGCCATTCAGGAAGCAAAGGTGGGTACCTTAGGGTGTGCCAGGGTTGGGAGCGGTGAAAAGTCTTGCAGAGGTTTTCAGGATTCTGCGGTGCTGGTGAGTGAGTGGTAGGGCGCTGCTCCCATGGCACGGGCCCGGGGTGGACTGTGACTATGAGCGGCTGCTGCTAGTGTGTCCCTTGCTAGGGGGAAATGGGCATGGGCTGGGCCCGGAGTGGACTATGACTATGAGCGGCTGCTGCTGGTGTGTCCCTTGCTAGGGGGAAATGGGCATGGGCCGGGCCCGGAGTGGACTATGACTATGAGCGGCTGTTGGATATGGAGGCTCCCAGACGCTGCTTTGGCAACCAGACGTTCCTCACTCTCGATGAATACTCTGCCATCCAAGAGGCCAAGGTGGGTGGCTGTGGTAGGGTATCCCTAGGTTGGGAGCGGTGGGAAGGTTTGGCAGTGTTGGGGGAGGTGGGATTGTGGGATGGTTTGCAGAGGTTGAGAGAGGTGGGATGGTGTACCACGGTCAGGAGCAGCGGGATGGTGTTGTGCAAAAGGTGGTGACCTGTGAGTAGACTATGCTTATCAGAGCCCTGTTAAAGAAGCGCCTCAGATTGAGAAACGGTACTCAGGTTTAATGTGTGGACTATGACTGTGGCTATGACTATGGCTATGACCATGACTATGGCTATGACCATGATCATGGCTATGACCATGACTATGGCTATGACCATGACTATGGCTATGACCATGACTATGGCTATGACCATGATCATGGCTATGACCATGACTATGGCTATGACCATGATCATGGCTATGACCATGACTATGGCTATGACCATGATCATGGCTATGACCATGACTATGGCTATGACCATGACTATGGCTATGACCATGACTATGGCTATGACCATGACTATGGCTATGACCATGACTATGGCTATGACCATGACTATGGCTATGACCATGACTATGGCTATGACCATGACTATGGCTATGACCATGACTATGGCTATGACCATGACTATGGCTATGACCATGACTATGGCTATGACCATGACTATGGCTATGACCATGACTATGGCTATGACCATGACTATGGCTATGACCATGACTATGGCTATGACCATGACTATGGCTATGACCATGACTATGGCTATGACCATGACTATGGCTATGACCATGACTATGGCTATGACCATGACTATGGCTATGACCATGACTATGGCTATGACCATGACTATGGCTATGACCATGACTATGGCTATGACCATGACTATGGCTATGACCATGACTATGGCTATGACCATGACTATGGCTATGACCATGACTATGGCTATGACCATGACTATGGCTATGACCATGACTATGGCTATGACCATGACTATGGCTATGACCATGACTATGGCTATGACCATGACTATGGCTATGACCATGACTATGGCTATGACCATGACTATGGCTATGACCATGACTATGGCTATGACCATGACTATGGCTATGACCATGACTATGGCTATGACCATGACTATGGCTATGACCATGACTATGGCTATGACCATGACTATGGCTATGACCATGACTATGGCTATGACCATGACTATGGCTATGACCATGACTATGGCTATGACCATGACTATGGCTATGACCATGACTATGGCTATGACCATGACTATGGCTATGACCATGACTATGGCTATGACCATGACTATGGCTATGACCATGACTATGGCTATGACCATGACTATGGCTATGACCATGACTATGGCTATGACCATGACTATGGCTATGACCATGACTATGGCTATGACCATGACTATGGCTATGACCATGACTATGGCTATGACCATGACTATGGCTATGACCATGACTATGGCTATGACCATGACTATGGCTATGACCATGACTATGGCTATGACCATGACTATGGCTATGACCATGACTATGGCTATGACCATGACTATGGCTATGACCATGACTATGGCTATGACCATGACTATGGCTATGACCATGACTATGGCTATGACTACGAGCATTGGCTGGTGGATATGCGGAAGAACACACAGAACATGCCTTCATTCCTTGTGCTGTGTTGCATCATTGCATGGCAGAACCGTAAGAGGAGAAGAACGCGGCTGTGATGGTGGTGGATGTCTTTTGATGCCACGTGCATTCTGAGTCCGCTCAGAGAATAGAATATCCTTTTTCCATACACCCTGTTGCATGGCAGAACCAAGGCGGGTAAATAACGCACTTGTGATGGTGGTGGATGTGTTTATATGCCACGTGCAATTTGCATCCACTCAGAGCACACCCGTTTTTCCCCTGTGCTGCGTTGTGTGGCAGAACTCCAAGAGGAGGAAGAATGCACCTGTGATGGCGGTGGATGTGTTCATATGCCACGTGCATTCCGAGTCCACTCAAAAGACACCGTTTTCCCCTGTGCTGTGCTCTGTTGCATGGCATGGCAGAACCCCAAGAGGAGAAAGAGCGCACCTGTGATGGTGGTGGACGTGTTCATATGCCATGTGCACCATTATCAGACAGAGAGGGAGTGTGGTTACATCCGACAACGGTACGAAATTCTTATGCACATGCACATGCGTGCCAGAGGGGATGGTGATGGCGGTTGACGTGTTTATATGCCACGTGCACCACTACCAGACGGAGAGAGAGTGCGGTTACATCCGACAACGGTGAGTAAGAGATGCTCATGCACACACATGCATGCTGCGTGCACATGGGCATGCTAGAGGGGATGGTGGTGGACCTGTTTATATGCCACGTGCACCACTACCAGACAGAGAGAGTGCGGGTACATCAGGCAACGGTGAGAGATGCACAAGCACATGCACATTCACATGCACATTTACATGCACATTCACATGCACATTCACATGCACATTCACATTCACATTCACATGCACATGCACATTCACATTCACATGCACATGCACATTCACATTCACATGAACATTCACATTCACATGCACATGCACATTCACATGCACTCCACATGCACTCCACATGCACTCCACATGCACATGCACTCCACATGCACTCCACATGCACATGCACATGCACATCCTCTCCAAAGACTGCATCTCCTTCGTCACTTACAATGAACCCCATTATCACCTTTCAGAACAGGATCCGATCCGAGTGGCCGCCGGGCAGGACCTGCCCTCCCACCAGCCCACCTATCCCCATAATATCCACTCACTCACTCTTACATATCATGTATAGTCTTAGCTCCTCCCTTTCCTACTGCCCGACCCTCTCCCCCACCCGCCCCCACTCCCCATCTGCAGCTACCAGCATCTTAAATGGCTCTTTCCCCCATTCCCCATCCCCACCCCCCCTTCACCCACCCCTCCAGCTACCAGCAACTGCACATCCACTTTGCTCGAACAGTCATCCTGGAGAAGCGCACGCCAAGCCCCTGGTTCAAGTACCCCCCCAAGGAGTTCATCTCCCTCTTTAACCCCTCGTCCTTCCCTCCCCCCCCCTCCCACCCCCGGCTCTCCCCCCCCCCCCCTCCACCCCTACAGCTACCAGCAACTGCACATCCACTTTGCTCGTACGGTCATCCCAGAGAAGCGCACGCCAAGCCCCTGGTTCAAGTACCCCCCCAAGGAGTTCATCTCCCTCTTTAACTATGAGGATTCGGTCATCGCCTTAGGGAACATGTTTGCTGTGAGCGGGCCCGCTCACTCGCACGAATCATCTAATGTCTTCCCCCTTCCTTCCCGCCGCCCCCTCCCCTCCACCCCTACAGCTACCAGCAACTGCACATCCACTTTGCTAAAACGGTCATCCCGGAGAAGCGAACCCCAAGCCCCTGGTTCAAGTACCCCTCCAAGGAGTTCATCTCCCTCTTTAACTATGCCGATTCGGTCATCGCCTTCGGCAACATGTTCGGCGTGAGCGGGCAGGATTTGCGTTTTCACCATGCCCGCCCGCTCGTGGTGCTGCCGGGATGCAAATATTACATCATGCCCTCGCCCATGGTTCGCCAGGCTGCTGCTGGGTTCATAAATTCTTACCTTGGCAGCAGCACCAGCAGCAGCAGCAGTAGCAGCGGCAATTTAGGTGGTGATTCTAATGGTGGTGTTCGGGCTGCTGGTGATGGTGGTGCTGGTGGTGCTGGCGGTGGTGGATTCATGGCATTGCACATGCGAAGAGGTGATTTCTATCAGCATTGCGTCAACATGAAGGGGCATTCCAAGTTCGCCTGCTACCACCCGATCCGCCAGCTGGCGGCCTGTGTGGCGCGGCGATTGGACGAGAATCCCGGCGTGCGGGCGATTTATCTTTCAACCAATGGGGATGATGATGAGGTGAGGATGTTTCGGGAGTTTCTCGCGTTTGAACGGGCCAGGCCGCGGAAATATGTTATCAATGGGACGACGGAGGATGGACGTGTGGGGAGCGTGGTTCGGGTGCGTGGGGGGCACTTGGGCCTGTTTTCTTCCGAGCCTGTCCCGGTGGTTCGGATGTCGATTAAGAGCCTGGAGACGCAGCCTTGGGCCGAGCCTCTGGTGCAGGCTGGGGCGCATAATGACAGTGTGGTGATTTCGTATGTGGAGAAGGCGATTTGTGTGATGTCGAATGTGTTTTTTGGTACGTACGGGTCGACCTTTACAGGGGATATTGTGCGGCTACGGGATTGGCTGTTCTTAAATAGCTGTAACGATGGGATGATATGCCCGGAAACAGACCAGGCGGAGCTTATCACGCCCTTTGAGAGCTAGGACGTGTTTGCTAGTGGAAAGCTTACACATGTGCACGTGTTTTTCTAACACACGATTTGTATCTTACAGCAGAAAAGCTACACATGTGCACCATCATTTGATATAATTCTGTTAAAAATGCTCGAGTATACCTTCACTCTCATACAATAACGAGTTGTCCAGTGACGAATTTATTGTACCGAAGGTGCTTTATTCGAATTCCGTGTAGATCACTTCAGACAATTCCTCCCTCGTTTGCATCACATATTTCCCGCTTTGAGTCACCCTTGGTATTACACAAGTTGCCTTACCCCCTAGATTCTGCCGCACTGGTTCTGTATCAGAATCTACGGTCCAGAGCTACTTTCCCAGAAATCGTCAAGCCAGATCGGACCGCCAGACCAGGGTTTAGGTCGCGTGCGGTCGCGTGTGTTCCGCGCGCCTCCACGTGTAGCGGTTGATGAAAGCTCTCGTGCCTGCATTCTAGGTCGCAATCTCGCATAGCTGCTACTTTTCGGTGTGCACGGTGCCAGCTGTTCTCGGTGCTGTATAATTCCGGTGCTGATCTGTACGATCGCTATCGTGTTTGACAAATTCGCAATCATGGTGACTCGCATACACCGAAGTCTGTGCGATTTCCGAGCGAACTGAACCATCTTTTATGTAACACGCTTTCGTCGCTGCTGTTTCGTCGCCAATCGCTTAGTTGACTATTCTCCTCCAGGTCGCACTGTCTTTTGTAAATCGACGCTGACACAAGGCGCAACTTTGCCTCTGTTCTGGCCACATACTCGAATCTTTACTATTGATAAGTGATTCTTCATGTTTTGATAAGCGGAAGTCACAGCGCGGATTTCGACCATGGATCTAGACGGAATGATCAGCGGAGGGGGAAGGGGAGGCCGCGGGGGAGGCGGTCGGGGGGGCTACGGCGGAAGAGGGGGAAGAGGCGGAGGCGGAAGGGGAAGAGGCGTGTGCAGATTCTGGCTTGAGGGTAACTGTAGAAAAGGTGACAACTGCGACTACTTACATACGGATTCATCTGGCGGGGGTGGCGGGTTCGGCGGAGGTGGTCGGGGATTCAGCGGCGGAGGGGGAAGAGGCGGAGGCGGAAACAGGGGGGGTGGGGCTGGCTGGGGGGGGCAGGGGTGGGGGGGAGGGGGAGGAGGCGGCGACGGGGGAGGGGGGACTGTTTTGGGCAGGCGGAATGCGGACAGTCAGGGGGATGGCGAAGGGTTTGGTGGGGAGCGGTGGGGGAGGCAAAGAGTAGGCGGAAGAAGCGGGGAGGGCGTGAGGGCGCGGCTTGGTGACGGGGGAGGCGGAGGCGGAGGGGCAGGCGGAGGGGGAGGCGGAGGGGTAGGGGGGGAGAGGCGCATAGCGAGGCGGAAGGCGTGCAAGTTCTGGCTGGGGGGCAGCTGCAACCGCCATAACTGCACGTTCCTCCACGCCCACACGACGGCTGCTGACGTGGAGATGATGACAGAGCTGACGGGGCATGAGAAGGTGTGTGTGCGTGTGTGTGTTGGATGGGGGAGTGGGGGAGGGAGGGGATGAGAATGTGTGTGTGGGGGGGTGGGGTGGGGGACTTTTGAGGCACCTCCAATGGCTGCTGACGTGGAGATGATGACAAAGCTGACGGGGCATGATCATGAGAAGGTGTGTGTGTGTGTGTGTGTGTGTGTGTGCGTGCGTGCGTGTGTGTGTGTGTGTGTGTGTGTGTGCGTGCGTGCGTGTGTGTGTGTGTGTGTGTGTGTGTGTGTGTGTGTGTGTGTGTGTGCTTGCTTGTGTGAGGCAAGGGGGGATTCCACTCTAGTCGTTTACATGATTATGGTTGGCAGGCATAATCATGGTTACTTTCCCCCTCTCTCCCTTTCCGTCATGGTGTTGCTTTTGAGATGGCGGGCATAATCATGACTACTTACCCCCTCTCTCCCTTTCCGTCATCTCCCCTCGCCCTCTCTGCTTTCTCCCATTACATGGCACAGTATGCCTGTTTTTGAGTCGACTCAAAAACATTTCTCCCATTACATGGCACGGTATGCCACAGCAAAAGCACCTTGACAGCATGTGTTGGAGTTATCTCAACTCAACCTGGACTTCTCATCCCTCTTCTCATCGCTCTTCTCCTTCATCTACCCCACACACCTCATGTCACCTTTGAGAATTCTGGTATACCTCAATGTGGACTTCTCCTCTTCTTCCTACACCTCCTTCAACTCCCGCACACCCCACACGTCACCCGTTGAGGTGGTGTGCGCCATTGCTCTACTGGAGAGCTCCTCTCAGCTGAGCTATGCACGGGCAGTCAATGAGTCACTCGGTCATGGAGGGCCAAACCCTTTACGTCTTGCTCTTCTATTCCCTCCTCCCTTCCATCCCCCTCTCTCTTCCATCCCCCCAGGTGGTGCGTGCCATAGCTCTACCGGAGAGCTCCTCTCAGCTGTACACAGGCAGTCAGGACGGGACGATCCGAGTGTGGGACTGCACGACAGGGCAGGTGCTGCGTGCCTCCGTTATGTTGCGTTTAATGTAGGGTGCACCCAGGTCTGGGTGCGCTGTTGCTGTGCTGGGGGATAAATAAAGGGTGGTGAGGACGGGATCATTCGGGTGTGGGATTGCACCACAGGAGGTGGGGTCCTCTATGTCGTATGTAAGGTGCGCTGTTGCTGTGCTGGAGCATAAAGGGTGGTCAGGACGGGATCATCTGGGTGTGGGATTGCACCACGGGGCAGGTAGGGTGCTGTTGCTGTGCTGGAGTGTCAAGAGCGGTCAGGGGCGGTAAAGGGTGGTCAGGGCAGGATCATCCGGGTGTGGGACTCCACCACGGGGCACTGATTACCAACTCTGGGTGGCTCTTTCGCTGTACCCTCTTCACAGGACCAACTCTTTCGCTGTACCTCTCTTAACTTCCCACTTTGTCTTTCTTACCCTCCCTCCTCTCCCTCTCCATTCCACCCATCAGTGCGTGAGTGTGGCGAGCATGGCGGGGGACGTGGGACCACTGATTACCAACTCTGGGTGGCTCTTTCTCTCATTTGCACCGCACTGCGCCCCTCTTAACTTCCCACGTTTTCCTTCCCCTCCGTCCCATCCCCTCTCCAATCCACTATCAGTGCGTGAGTGCAGCAAGCATGGGGGGGTGACGTGGGACCACTGATTACCAACTCTGGGTGGCTCTTTCCCTCACTTGCACCGCACTGTACCCCTCTTCACTTCCCATTTTCTCCTTCATACCCTTCCATACCCTCCCCAATCCACCCATCAGTGCGTGAGTGCAGCGAGCATGGGGGGAGACGTGGGAGCGCTGATCACCAACTCTGGATGGCTCTTTGTCTCACTTGCACCGCACTGTACCCTTTAACATCTCATCCCTCCATTGCTCTCTTGGCAGTGCGTGAGTGCAGCGAGCATGGGGGGGGACGTAGGAGCGCTGATCACCAACTCTGGATGGCTCTTTGTCTCACTTGCACCGCACTGTACCCTTTTACATCTCATCCCTCCATTGCTCTCTTGGCAGTGCGTGAGTGCAGCGAGCATGGGGGGGGACGTAGGAGCGCTGATCACCAACTCTGGATGGCTCTTTGTCGGCCTGCCCAACCTCGTTAAGGTGCTGTTGCTGTGCCATGCTGTGCGTACGTTATGCCATGCCCCTTCATGCGATGCCATGACCCTTCATGCGATGCCATGACCCTTCATGCGATGCCATGACCCTTCATGCGATGCCATGACCCTTCATGCGATGCCATGACCCTTCATGCGATGCCATGACCCTTCATGCGATGCCATGACCCTTCATGCGATGCCATGACCCTTCATGCGATGCTATGCCCTCATCACCAACTCTGGATGGCTCTTTGTTGGCTCTTTGTTGGCTCTTTGTTGGCTCTTTGTTGTCCTGCCCAACCTTGTCAAGGTGCCCTGCCATGCCCCCCCTGCTCTAAGGTTCTATGCCATGCTGTGCCACCATGCCCTGCCATGCCACTCCATGCGGCTGCATGCCATACCATGCTCTCATCGCCAACTCTGGCTGGCTCTTTGTCAGCCTGCCCAACCTTGTCGAGGTGCTGCTTATGATATGCTCATTGATTGTCCCTGGTTTTGCTAATTCAACCCCCCCATCCATGCTATCTCTGCCGTGAATGCTGCAGACGTGGGTGCTGGCGAGCGGGGTGCAGAGCGGCTTGCTGGCCTCACAGGCAGGCCCTCTTGAAGCCTAGACCCTCCGACCCTGTGCTTTGAACCCATGCGTTTTCAAACTTCCCATCCCTGCCATGGATGCATGCAGACATGGGTGCTGGCGAGTGGAGTGCAGAGTGACTTGCCAGGCCCTACAGGGTCGGTGCACCAGCTGCTGCTGCACAATGGGATGCTCTTTGCCGCCTGCTCTGTAAGCGGTGGGGTGGGGTGGAGGGAGTTGGAATGGGGTGGTGTGGCATGGTATGGCATGGGGTATGCCCCCACAGGGTTGGTGCACCAGCTGTTGCTGTTGCACAATGGCATGCTCTTTGCTGCTTGCAGTGTATGCCTTACACTTGAGAGAGTCTGGGATCTGGTTGGGTGGAATGGGGTGGGATGGCGTGTGCGTTATGTACCCTAGGGACGGTGCACCAGCTGCTGTTGCACAATGGCATGCTCTTTGCCGCCTGCAGTGAAAGCGGTGGGGTGGGGTGGTGTAGAGTGGGGTGGGATTGCTTGCATGACATAGAGATGGAATGGGACTGTAATGTAACCCGACCTCACAGCAGTTTGAATCGGTGGTGTCACTGACAGGCGAAACAGCAGCTGTTGTGTGCCTTGCCGTGCCTTGCCTTGCCTTGCCTTGAATGGTTGGCACTTTGTTCTTTTCCACTTCCATCGCTTCGTTTCTCCACAAACCTCAGGACGGCAAGATCCTGTGTTGGAAGTTCAACCCGGCCTCGCAGCAGTTTGGGAGCCCGTGGCATCACTCACGGGTCACACGGCTGCTGTCGTGTGCCTTGAATGGTCTTTCCCTTTTCTTTCCCCCCTTCCCCCTCTTGCACAAACCTCAGGACCAGGGTTAAAGAAAACGACCATATTAATGAAAATTTACCATAAAAAACGGTTTAAAACGGTTCCAGGAGGTGTTTTTCTTTTGAACAAAAAAAAGGCCGATTTGTGGGACCAAATTGATGGCCAAAGGTACCAGGATGAAGAGGAGGAACCCCTCCTTGCATGTGTGCCTTTGTGGGCATGATTGAAAACGTATCCGACCTTGTTTTTCCCTTTTTTTTCTTGGTGACAAGAGTTCTCTAACAAAAAAACGCCAGTTTTTTTCTGAAATTTTACCGTAAAAAACGGACCATAAAAAACGGACCGTATTTTACGAAATCCGTATTTTTTAACCTTGCTCAGGACGGCAAGATCCTGTGTTGGAAGTTCAACCCGGCCTCACAGCAGTTTCAGCCCGCAGCATTCTCTGTGACTTCTTTCCCCCCATCCTCCATCGTTTCTCCCTCCCTTCCTCCCTGTTTCCATCCCTTTGTTGTCCATACCCTCTTCCCCAACATACCTCAAGACGGCAAGATTCTGTGTTGGAAGTTCAACCCCGCTTCCCAGCAGTATGAGCCGGTGGCGTCACTGACAGGCCACACGGCTGCTGTGGTGTGCCTTGCCTTTGAATGGTTGGCGCTATTCCTTTCCCCAAATTCCTTGATCCCTCCCGCCAACCCCACACATACCTCAGGACGGCAAGATCCTGTGTTGGAAGTTCAACCCGGCTTCCCAGCAGTTCGAGCCCGTGGCATCACTGACAGGCCACACGGCTGCTGTGGTGTGCCTTGAAGCCACAGCCACGCACCTCTTCTCTGGGTCCATGGATAAAAACATCAGAGTGAGTGCTGTGTTGGTGAGGCATCAGAGTGAGTGCACTGATGCATCAAAGTGGTTGTATAGAGTGGGTATAGGGTGAGTGTATAGTGAGTGTATGGTGAATGTATAGTGAGCGTATAGTGAGCGTATAGTGAGTGTAGAGTAGTACAATCAAACAAGGCTCCTCACTTTCGTTAAGTTTCCCCCACTCTCCCCCCTCCCCCGCCCTCTTCCTCCCTCACCCTTGCGTCTTATCAGATATGGGAACTCAGCACAGGAGCGTGTGTGCACATAGTGCCGGCTCACGACCATGTGGTGATGGCGCTGGTGGCCTGGCACCCTAACCTGCTCTCCTGTTCACTCAGTAACCCCCCCTCCCCCCCCCCTCCCTTCCTTCCTGCCTTTCTTCCTGCCTTGCTTCCATCAGATATGGGATCTCAGCACTGGGGCGTGTGTGCACATAGTGCCGGCTCACGATCATGTGGTGATGGCGCTGGTGGCGTGGCAAACGCACCTGCTCTCCTGCTCGTTGGATGGGACAGTCAAGGTGGGCTGTGGTGGGTGGGGGGAAAGGCGTGGGCTGTTCGTTCAAGTGCTGGTGGCCTGGCACACTCACCTGCTCTCTTGCTCGTTGGATGGGACAGTCAAGGTGTGTGGGTGTTGTGATGCTGTAATGAGTTAGTATCCGAGTCAAACCAAAAAACGACCTGCGCCAGGGGTGATGGCACTGGTGGCATGGCATGGCACATTCCTGCTCTTCTGCTCACTGGATGGCGCAGCACGAGGAGGGGGCATCGAACTCGCATTCACTCGCACACAAGTCTAGAGGATCCTCAAGATTTTTGAGGCGCCTCAAAAGGATCCTCAAGAACACTCTGCTAAGCCTCAAGAACCCTAAACCCGAAACCCTGCACACACCTCTTCTCAAACCTCGACGGTTGTATGTAGGGTGCCGTGAGTCACAGGGTTGTGGACCATCCACCTCGCACTCACTCACACAGATGTTTTTTATATCACCCTGTTAAATCCTAAACCCTTTGAACCTTGCCAGGTGTGGGCGGCATCAGCAGCAGAAGTGTGCGTGCGCCATTGACCTCGTGTTTACCCACACAGATGTTGAGAGTTTGTGCAAATTTTGAGTCGACTCAAAAATCGACTTCCCACACAGATGTTGAGAGTTTGTGCGAACACGCTTTTAATCTTTGCATCGTAAACCTCAAAACCCTGTGCATCTCACCTTTAATTTTCAATAAATGCGGGCACCGTCAGCAGCAGGAGTGGCCGCCATCGACCTTCCGTAACATTCACTCACCCCGCTGCAGACAACAAGGGCGGCAGCGGGCATTCAGTCACAAATGTGTTTACACTGCAAAACCCAAACCCTACACATCTTTCTCGCAGGTGTGGGCGCCATCAGCCGTAGGAGGGGGTGCCATCGACCTGGCGTTCACCCACACAGATGCGGACGACAAGGGCGGCAGTGGGCAGGGTGACAGGGAACCCGATGTATGTTTCGCTCCTCTTGACTCTTCTTGCCATTTGATGTACCAAACTGTAAGATGCCATTCTAGCTGTTAGAACTCAAGGGAGGCGAGGTAACAGGCAGATCGACAGAGAGCCTTATGTACGACTCGACCCCCCTTGACTTTCCATTCCATCAAATGAGCAAATCTGGATGTGGTGCTGTAAGACCTCCATGTGTGTAGTGTATACATGTACGCCACAATTTGTTTTCTTGCACTTCTTACATGTATACATTGCACCATGCTACACTTTTCTACCTTGTTCAAGGGTGATTTGTTACGTTTCAAAAAGGCCCTCCAGTGCGCTATGTTTCAAGTTCCAAACTTTGTCCCCTCCCAACCCTGCCATGCAAGTGAGCACGTACGTAGCCTGCTTCCCTTGCCTAGCCTTCCCCCCCTTCCCGTGCCTGCTTCGTCCCCACTCCCAATGCGGGGAGTGTTGGCCATGAGAGTGAGCATGTACCTACCGGGTAATCAGGTGCTCGTGGTGGCATATACCCCACCCCCCCACTTCCCGCTTCTCGTCACCCATTGTTCTTCCCTTCTTCTTTCAGCGCTTCCCTCTCCCTCCCTTTAATGCGGGGAGTGTTGGCCATGAGAGTGAGCACGTACCTACCAGGCAATCAGGTGCTCATGGTGGGATAAGGTCTCCTCTTTTCCTCCCGTTTTCCTGTTTCACCCTTCCACCTTCCACGCTTCCTTCCCCCCTCCCCTCATGCAGGGAGCGTTGGCAATGAAAGTGAGCACAGATCTAGCAGGCAATCAGGTGCTCATGGTGTGGTGGTGCACCCCCTACCACCGATCCTCACCCACCCCTTCACCCTTCTGTTTCCCCCGTTCCCTTGCCTGTTTCATCCCCTCTCCCTATGCAGGGAGCGTTGGCGATGAAAGTGAGCACGGACCTGGCAGGTAATCAGGTGCTCATGGTGGCATACAGCGACAACTCTGTTCGCCTCTTCGACCTCCCATCGTACGTTCTGTTTTCTTGTTTCTGTTTATGTGTATTTATTTGACATTCCATTGCATTGTGCTTCTTTTCCCTTTTTTTGTTCCTTGGAATCAATCGCAAGGATTTTCAAAATTGTTTGGAATCACCAAGAGCCGCCCTCGTCACCTCATGCCATCTCGAATCACTTCTCACCGATGCCACATGTCACACCATGCTTCCCCATGCCATGTCATCACAACCAGGTTCACAGAGCGGGGGGCGCTGTTCACGGTGCAGGAGGTGCGATCGCTGTGTGTGGGGCCCAGCGGTCTCATGTTCACTGGGGACAGTGCAGGGACGGTCAAGGTGTGGCGGTGGACGCAGTGAGAGTAGTGAAGTTTTGAAGGGGGTAAGGGAGACGGAGTAGAGGAGTTGTTAAGGTGCAGGAGGTGCGGTCGCGGTGTGTGGGGCCCAGCGGTCTCGTGTTCACTGGGGACAGTGCAGGGACGGTCAAGGTGTGGCGGTGGACGGAGTGAGGGGTTTAAGCAGGAGAAAGTGGGGGGGGAGTGAGAGGGGAGCACATGGCAGACTGTGAAGTGCAGCTGCTGTGTGGTGTGTACCTTTGGGGCCGTCCCACAAGGTGGGGACCAGTGCTGAAGACAGCACTGGGACTGTGTGAAAGTGTGGCGTGGTGGTGGGCACGAGGGTTCTACGACAAGTGCTGTGCAGTGTAGTGCAGGTGCGGTGCGGTGCGGTGCAGTGCGGTGCGGTGCAATGCAGCCATCAGATGGAGCAATGATGCAATCGTTTAGCAAGGCAGGGTTCAGCCAACCAACCAAGGGATTTAGGTTTATGGGGTCCTAAGTGCTTGTTCGGAAATCAGTAGCACGTAATTGATGCTAGTCTTTGGCTTGTTCAGACGGCAAATGCCGGAGGTCGAGAGGGTATGGTAACTGGTCCATAGGTCGAATTCAAATTTATGAATATAATGAGTTGCACTTGTAAGCCGAATGAGGTCTGTGGGAGGAGAGCGGGGGATGAAGATTGGATGGAAGATAGATTGTATTGTACAACAAGCAATGCTGAACCATGTTTTATGAAGCCTCAATGTGCATTGTGCAGTAGGTAGGTGAAGCATATTTGTTATGGTCTGTTCTTATAGCATATAAGGTGAACCTTTTGTCGGGCTGTCTTCGCACTGCGCTGAAACGCGCAGAACCATATTATCCGCATTGAGACGTCTGACAAAAAGTGTCAGGAACACACCCTTACACGAATCATACGGTGGCATATGTAAGAGCAAACCTTGAAGGGTGTGGACTGCTTAAAATAATGGAATACAATAACATACACTATGCCAGCTGGTTGAACCCTGTTTTCAAGCCCTACACCGCAAACCCTAAACATAGGAGCTTGAAGCACTTAGATTCACGCCAAGGGCACCATCATAAAGACGCCACAAGCTGTTTGCCAGATACAGACGCCCAAAAAATGTGGGTATAGAACCTGTGCAACTCATCCCAGCATCTCGCGCACCATTTCATACGCCAGAAAGCACGCAGCATTTGCTGGTACACTCCGCGCCATGGCAGGGCCAAACCCTCTGTACAAGCCCTTCACACCCTCTGTGGCCCACACTTTCCGGAAAGCTTGTACTGTGCCAGTGTACTTAGGGTTTCTGCACATGCACATGCACATGGAAGAAGAGAGTGGTTAAATGCAATGAGTAAGTCCTGCGCTTACAGTGAATGGTCAAGAGTCAGGCAATGGGTGGTCAATAACATGTAATGTGGGGTCGATATGATGCAATAACTGGTGAGTGACATCCAATCAGTGGTCAATGGCATGCAATGAGCAGTCAATGGCATGCAATGAGCAGTCAATGGCATGCAATGAGCAGTCAATGGCATGCAATGAGTGGTCAATAGCATGCACTGCGTTCTCAATGGCATGCAATGTGCGGTCAGTGGCAGTCTTGAGTGGTCAATAACATGCAGTGTGTGGTCAACGGCATGCAATACGTGGCCCATGGCATGCAATGTGTGGTCAGTGGCATGCATTCTGTGGTCAATGTTGTGCCATGATTGATGCATGCAGCCCTACCAGGCTATTCCAGGGGTGTGCGGTACTGCATAATGTACTAGCTAATCCTGTCCCGGCAAACCTCTCTCCATGTCTCCGTCACGGTAATAGCGAGACAACATTTTGTATGATACGTCTTTCTATATCCACGCGCCATTGCTCACCTGTAGTCGTCTACTTGAATCATGCTCTTGATGACGTCAGTCGGGTACACTGAGGCCCAGAAGCACGCACCGCCCACGCCACCGGCAACAAGCAGCGCTCCTCGGCTGAGCCCTGACGTGTCAGTTCCTCCTGCCATCAGCTGAAGAATCAAGGACAAGAGAAGGAGAGTTGGTGCAAATCCGAGGCAATCTGTAGTGTGACTTTACTGTGTTGTCAAGGCAGCGTGAGCAGCATGTGAAACAATAGACGGGTTGGCGTGGAGCAGGAGAAGAGATAACGGGTAAACATATGGGAGAGAAAAAGCGGAGAGGGGGGGGAAAGGAAGAGCAGTGGTGCACGGCGGGAAGTATATGTTGAAATAGTATATCTGCCACTCAGTCTTTTAATAACAGTACACGGAAAAAAATGACTCGGTGTGCCTTTGTACTCTAAGGTCTCTTTGATACAATTATACTTTCTCGCACTTACATATTGTTAATTTGGATATAAATTGACCTGGAAATGACGCTCAACAATCGGGCAAACTTCTGCGAGTGCTGGTGTTGTGGTTGCGACAATCTCAACGCGACAACAACATGCCCTACGTACGCGCTATAAGCACCTGACGGCCCGTACAGCGTCTCACCTGTTTTGTCGCCTCGTATGCTCCGAACATAGCCGCGTTTCCAGGCACCTCCCGCATCAGCGTGGGAGTGAGGCCCTTGAACAGCCCCAACGCGCCGCCCTCCGACCGAATCACGTGGCGAGCCACGTCCAGTGGACCCGCGTAACGCGGCACGCTCATGGAGACGGTGGGCCCGCCACCAGCAGCAACGCCTGCCACAGCTCCCTGTAAAGCAGAACGGGAAAAAGGAGAAGGTAGTTTGGGCGGGTGAATAGTGGAAGACGTTCGTACAAATTCGACGATTGAGGGAAAGTCGGTTCGTGCTCGATCTCCATTGCACATACCATGATTTCAGGAACAGCTTAAGCCAGAATGTCAGGAGCGCACAGAGAAGCGTAGACTTCGCAGAAGCCTTTACGAGCGAAGGGAGTGGAAATTGCATGAAATGACTTGGAAATACCTGGAGAGGAGCGGCTGCGAGAGCGCTTTGGGCTTGCAGCCGGCACTTGATCAGCTCCGTCGGACACGCGACGAACGACACAGCTAGGCCGGCACCTCCGCCGGCAATCACCTGCTTTCCCACCGATAGCTTTTCGTCCGGGCTGCTCTTCAAAATCGCCTCCATCTGCCCGCGGGCAGTGAAAAGAACGGCGTTAAAAACGGCGACGGTGGCGAGAGGAGGACCGATTCCCGCGTAAAGCCCTTTCGGCCCCTCAGCGGCTATGGTTTTCCTAACCGCGTCCATGGCGCCTGAGTACATGGGCGGCTGGCCCGGAGCCGGCTTGGGCTGTGCTTGTAGCTTGACTTTGATTGTATCGAAGGGATGGCCGACGAGAAGCTGAGCTATTCCAGCGAGAGTTCCAGCTGTGAGGTCCTTCGTGACAGCGCTGTTGTCGGAAGCCATTGTCTTAATGAATGAAGGGAAACGGCACAAACCAATAAGCTATGTACAAATTGGAAAGCAAATCACAAAAAATTTTGCGTCTAAAGCTCTGATGATGTCTAGTCCTTTATGTACGGGTTCGATGTTAGGCTGAAAACATGAAATCCGAGAGTCCCAAGGTGCATGTGCTGGGACGAGATGCCAAGCGAAGGGGCGACCTAATCTCGATGTTACAGCTCAGGAAATCATCCTCACACATTTATGAACCAGTGCGCCTCGATACCCACGAGTGAGTGGCTGTTGCTTGAATTCAGGCCTCCCTGAAGTTTGGGGAGAACCTCGAAGTTGGTGGTGGCTGTCATTTCACGCTGTCGTGGCGTGCTGAGTCGTGATTCGTGATCACTTTTTTAGTGTGGTGGGGGGGGTGAACGGGTACATCGCTTTGGACGTAATGCTGTGAAACAATCGCGATCGTGCACTCCGGGAAAAGGTTGCGAAACGGGTCCTCCAATAAAGCGCAACATCGAGCGAGCCCAGCCAATAGGAGCGCGTCACAAATGGTCTCAGGAGAGCCACTGTTACGGGTGCAATGAATCGAGGTAGCGAGGATTGCACTAGAGTCTTCAACAGTACAAAATATGAGAGAAGGCATGAGCGAATATTTATATGCTAAACATGCAAACGGTAACGCGGTGCGTGCGAGCTAGCTAGTGCTACGCTGTAGCGAGGTTCGGGCTAGTCCCGAAGCGTAGGCCGACTCGGCTGCTCCAGTAGTGCGAGGTGTGGTGAAACAGTTGTTAAAATAGTAGCTAGGAGAGAGTAGTAGCCATGCTAGGGTTGAGGCTAGACATGAGTGTCGAGAGAATTGAAGCAAGGAGAAGTCGAGAAAAGTGGTTTCACTAAAGAAAATCAAGAGTATATATGGGGAAGGAGGGGGGTGCACCACCAAAACAAGAAGAATATAGCTACACTAGGATCTACTGTATGCAGGTATATTAATGTAGACAAATACATTTCAACAACAGTGCGCGCGGAGTTGGCGAAGCCCCGTTAGCAGTAAGGGATGATCGGGCTCAATGATCGGCTCCGATGCAGGGCGAGTCATGGATGGCGGGCGGTGACGAGGCAGTTGGCTCGTGGTTGGGATGTAAGGGCGAAGCAGGCTGACGTGGAATGATGGGCTGATGTACCAGTCCGTTGGTAACAGTAAATGGGCAGTAACTGGGGTGATCATGTGGCTGATTTGGAATGGTCCATAGTAGCGGGGTCGTAATTTCGGTACGACGGACAGTCTTAAATTATGTGTGTCGAGCAGTACGAAATCTCTTGACTGGTACGTGACTGGGCGTCGGTGGCAGTCAACATTTCGTTTTGCGATGACGTTGGCTTTTTTAATTGCTTCCATGGCTCTGGTGCGTGCAGCTTGCAGCATCTCGGCGAATTGCTGTGCGCGTGGCGTGGGGTTGTCCGGACTTGGTGTCATGGGCACTATTGGGTTTTGCCCGTAGTTTAGGTAAAACGGGGACTGCTGCATCGTCGCTGACGTGGCGTTGTTGTGTGCGAACTCGATCAGCGGTAGTTGCTGCTCCCATGTTGTCGGGTCGTCGCACGTGGCACGAATCAACTGCTCCATCGTCTGATTTGTCCGCTCCG